AAAGATTTTGGAGAATTTCAGACATTTCTAAAAGAATTTTAGAGCTTGTGGGGGGGGGATTCCGGAAATAATTTTATGCCATATTTCGGGAATAGCTGCCCCACGCCCCATGTAGCTAGTCCACAAATCGAACCCAAACTTTTCAGGCCGAACATACAACCCACTGAACTGGCCAATGAGGGGCGAGCTAATAATTGAGATGGAAATTATTCATAGCTCATCGACAATAAACAACACAAAGACTTGTCTCCTGCTTTATAATCTACAGATTTCATTTATTTGTAAAATGGGGCAGATATTTCTCTCCTTTCGAGAAGCTATAATTGTACCAATCTTATTTCCCATCGATCGGAGTGCAGTGAACACTGCACTGTACACTGAACACTGTACTTTAGCAGACAGCAATGCTGTGTTAAACACCTGGGTGCTGACAAAATCATTAATAAGATTCTATTAGTTATTTCCTGATCATAGCTAATCACTTTAAGTTTTAAATCAAACGTTGCCAATTTACAATAATTCGATTTCGTTGTTTTTAATTCTTATAAAACGGCGAAGGTGACTCGAGAATTCCAGCCACAAGTTCGTGTTTTTCACGCTTCCCAAATTCTAACTAAGGAATATATTATTTTTCAAAAAATATATTTTCTATTTTCTCCTAAGTTAACAGTAAGTAATACATACAGACAAATACTGAGGTAATTGTGTTAATCTCTGGCAATCAATTTAATCCTTGTTTTCGACTGAACGAAACGTTTTCAACGTGCTTCTCGTATTAAAAAGTATGAACTTCAAAAAAATACGACTAACATTGGTTAAAGAAACGTTCATGAGTTGCCTCTATCAAACGCAAGGTGGCCAAACAAACCGAACTAATCTGTATATGCATGATTTATTTCAAACGAGAGACAGCAATAAACGAACCCTTTTTTTAGTAATCTACGAAACCTCGTTTCGTGCAGTGTTTGAAGTGTCTTCAAAGCCGCTTCTGCATTCCAAAGGTTAAGTCAAAAGCAAAAATAGAAAGAGATTAAACTAATTTGAGACCATTTCGTTAGTTAAAGAGGCCGGCGCGGGCTTAATCCATAAGAGACAATAACCTCATATTAGCCAGTAGGTAACTATCTACTTACCTTTCGATGAAACCAAATCGTTATCTCAGTCGAAACGTGGGGCAAATCTCGCCAGTCGGAGTTTTAGTTCTAGCCGATATTTCTTTTACACAATTTCGAGAAGTTATGAGTTATTAATGAAAATTTTCATAGCGTTTACTGGTCGAACTTACATGATCTTTTCATATGCAAATGTTAAGCAGTGAAGATTATTAAATCCCCAGCGAGCGCCCTTACTACAAACCGTTAATTGAATTGAATTGTTCTCTCGAGTTTGAGAACACAATAAAACTTTGTTTACAGCGATGAAAACTCTTTTCTTTTTCTGTGTATTTTGTACCTTTTGAACTTTGTCGAAATGTTTCGGCAAGACGAAGCTAATAATCGAAGAATGATTGTGCCACAAGTGAAATCTTCGCGGCCTAACTTCCCACTACTTTTTCAATGATCTATTTTACCAATCGCTTTCTCGTCGATTTTGAGACGGTCGTCTATGTTTAACAAAGCATAAAATCTTTTCTTTATTTCCTTGTCTAGGACTCATTTTATTGTAAACAGATCTAACTGTGGGAGTTATATTGGTACAGAAAAGAGGTCGCTTAGTCTCTATCGGGATCACCCCAAGGTCTTACAATAGACTATGTTACACGATATTCGCCAAGTAAATACCGCACGAAGAAGAACTAGGACATATCGCTATTTGGCAACTCGTGATAACATTCAGTATTTTATTTAGAGTTCCAGGTCATGTCATTGCTGCTTGTCTTTGAAAGGAAACAATTCTGTTATTAGTTGAGAGGTACATAGGTTAATTAATCTTAAGATATATTCATTACTAGTCGTAAAAACTAATCATAGCAGTAATTATTAATAATAAGTATTGGAAAGCTTTTACTGTTTAACAGTCAAGAGAAAAACAATTGGCTCTCCTGGCACATTATCATTAATTTAAAGGTAACTAGCACCAATAAATTCCCACCGAATAGAGTTTGGATTTGAGCGAAGCCTTATCTCCAGCGTTAATCTCGTATTTAAAGCACCGATCTCATTTTCTGTCTTAACTGTCAATAGGAAGCCTGCCGGAAGGACTTTTAAACGGATCTGATGTCTTGATTTTAAACCAATGAACAATATAAGGGCACGTTCGCTAAGAATTAATTAGAAGAACACACGGTGAAGGAGCTTGCTTGTGCATCGCACGGTGTATGTGTAACAGTTATTGTAAAGTTTCAATTCCGGCGCGACTCAGACATGCTGTTTAATAGTCAGACTTACATTGCATCCTACTGAGTGCTTTATATAAAATTTCTGTGGATGCGAGTGAATAATCTTTCTACGCATTCTCAATCCCGAATGCAATCAACTGAGCGCTCCCCGGCTAAACATGTTCCTTTAGGGGTCGACGTCAAGAGCGCTTTGTTTATGTTACTATCAAACTAAATAATCTACCTAGAGGCAGGCTAAGTTTGAAAAACATCTGGACCCATCTGGTACCAAAAATGCTTCTCAAGCTACAATTTCTGTAGTTTAGTCCTGGATGAACGGATCGCTCGAACTCTTCAGAATTCACGGAGGTATTTGTGTATTCCCTTTAGTCTGATGAAATATTGCAACGATCTCAGCACAATGTCTAGTTCTAACAAAACACGAAAAGCCAGTGGACACAAGGCAAATTACAGTTACCCTAGTCCCAGTACATTACTTTTTCATAAGCACTATAACCAGCTAACAGGGTAATTGTTTACACACAACTAACCTCAATGGTTTATGATTGGAAATCTTTCGCCCCCGCTCCATGATGAACTGTTTGCTCTAAGTAGGAATTAGAGAAAGACTGATTCTTCTTTTTCTATTTAGTTCTGAGCAAATACAGCAAAAAAAGTTGCGGTATGTTTTTTGTAGTCTGAAGGAAAACGTTGACTTGGCGAGCAGAGAGTTCACGTTTGCTGCAGTTTTTCACACTCAGTTTTGAAGAATCGCTTTGTTGTTTTTAATTATGCCTTGACTAATGCCTTTGATTTCACGTATGTGCACGTGGTACACGCTCAAACCAACGAGAATGTGAAGCAAACTATTTCTGGGCCAATCAGAAGGCGTCTTATACGGCCAGCCCAGTTAATTAACCTAATTGACTACAGTACGAACCACTTTTGTGGGTTAGTCTGTGGTCTCATTCAGAACTTTAATGTCTTCTTTAAGTACTTTTCGCAAGTAATATTACGAACACTTACATTTAACTATGTACGTAAAGGGGTTAAGACAGGGAAAGTAGAAAATTACTGAGCAAAATCTCGTGTGTTTACTCCTTGATTAGGTAAGAAAGGCGGAAGAAAATTAAAGGTAAACAATTTAAGTGCTTACTTTGAAACGAGTAGACATAAAATATGACTTTATTTGTCTTCCGAAAAGCTTACCCCAAAGGGCAAAAGGGTATCAAAGAAGAATCTGTATTCAAACATATTGAAAGCTTCGTGCAAGAAGTTTACTTATTTTATGTCAGTTTAAAATATACTTGACTAACATTTATGATAATGAACTGAAACTTTTGTACAGGAGAAATTACACGAACATGCCTTCTGTATCACAGCTTCTCCGTGCAGATGGCTTTGAAATTAGTTTGCGTGCCTCGGTCATCAGATAATGCTGTTGAACTTCAATAGAGACCGCCTCGACATTTAGCTCCGATAAGGCGCGTCGGAAAAAAAAAACAAAAACTTGCCCAGTCGAGATCCTAACACCAGGAAGAACAATTTTTCGTTGAGTTTACATGTAGAAATTTCTGTCCTTGTGATTAATAGTAGAGAAGAAATTAAAGATTAGGATAACTCATTGAACGATCTGCCGTCATTTTTGTTTTGTTTGTCCCAAGTTCAAGGATCTTCCTGGTACTATGTTCTTCCTATCTCTCAGCTAGGAAGATCCTAGTTCTAGGGACAAGTACAACTTGCATGTAAACTGAATACAAAGGAAAAAAAATAGTGCCGGAACGGATCTGCATTTTTTAGAATCTTCCTGATGCTAGGATTCTCCTCCCTCAATGTAAACAGCCCCTAATAATGCCCTTTCGAAAATGACCACCTCTCATAAGCGACCGCGAACAACTTTGGACCTGACTATTTTATAGTTTTCCATTGTTTTAAGCTCTTTTGAGCGACCACTCGACGTAAGGCGTGGTCTCCATCATTTTTCTCCATTTTCTAGGCCACCCAGAATATACAAAGAACGGCTTTCAGTGACAACATGGAACTAAATTTATACGTTACATTTGAAAGTGCATGCACTAAATTATCTGCCGAAAGGTGGATGTGTTGGGATCTCTTCTCAATAACTAACCCTGTTGGTTCGATTCTCGTAAGCGACCACCTCCTGTAAGTGATCAGTGTATATTTTGCATTTTGGGCAGTCGCTTAGAGGAAATACAACTGTATCCTTAAAACGGAGCTTCAATGGGCGGCGACGGCTTCGAAAACGTCACTTCAAAAGTGAATTCGCACAGCTTCAAACTTTATCGCGCTTATTTCATCTATGTCAATTCGTCAAATGTTCAATTCCAAAAAACTGTATCGAAGTTCAGGAAAAGAAAAGAAAGTCGGAGTCGCATTTTTCACGTCGTAGTGGTACAGTGACGGCAACGCAATGTACCAAAAAGCGTGATGCACGTGCAAAGTTGCATGTTTTGCCAATATAAACTTATTGCTTTTATGTCGTTCTCGTTGAAGTCGCCGTCGTCGCTGCTTAAGTTCCGTAATATCGTTCTTGTGGGGGCAGCCATAAACGTATACAAGCTTGTAAGCAGCTCAAAGTTAAGCCAGAAATTCCCTCCCTCCTTGTTTGCGCGCCGTTCGCGCACCCGCGCGTCTAAGCTCAATTTTCCATTCTCTATTGTGTGTTAATATACGTTTTAATATATACCCATCTTGTTTCATGTTAGTGCACTACACGCTTTGGCCATTTTATTTTTTAAATAAAACGTAGCAAAATAACAGAAAAATGATATCGTTCTTTTTTGCGAAATATACTGTCCTCTCCAACTGGATATCTACATGTATTATGGACTAATAAAAAATGTAGCAAGTGACAACATATTGAGCAACTGTTTTCTAAGTCAGGCACTTTAATTAGTAGCTAGCATATAAAAATGAATATTTTACTAATTATTACAAACTCATGCGAAATACCGTACATTGGAAAATTAAAAATTCGATCATGAACGACCTGTCGCAGTTGAAAGAAACAATATTTCAAACAAAGTCAAATGTCAAATGTTTCTTTTCGAATAGGAACAAACTACTAACCGCCTCAAAGCAGAATTTTTACTCCAGACAAGCTCGAAGAAAGCTTTGTCTCCAGTGCCTCCAAGCTGGCAAAGTCCTGCTAGACCACATAAAAATTTATCAATAAGAGTGTTGTTCTTTCAGCTTTAGAGATGAAGAAATGCTCTTGCGTAGAAACCAGGACAAACTTTGTGTGGCCTTTTTCCATGAAAGTGGACTATTGTCCGGGAGAGATCTCCAAATGCACTTCAAACTCCACACCATTTTCACCATCTTGTTGCTATCCCGTCATGCCATGTACGTATACTCATCCTTTGTTCCCTCGCGTCTTTCCAAGTATTGTTTGTCTATCAGTGCCTCGATGCATTTCTAAAAGAAAGTTAAAATCGCTCGAATTTTAACAAAAACATCTTTTCCTGGGGAAGACTCGAACCTGTCAACTGGCACTTCGACTGCACTTCTTCGCAAATTAATGAACGTTGTTTTATTTCGTCACGTTGCCACTTTCCAAAGTACAATGTAACTGGCTGGTAATAGTAAAAGGGGATTGTGTCTGATGGAACGCGAGCGCAGAGAAATCGATATTCTTTTTGTAGCGAGTGTCCATGATTATCGAATAAATTAAGTATGCAATAAACATGCACACTCGCCACCATGGAATAGCAGGGCAAGGCGTTAGAAGTACTTCATATAGTAGTATGAAGTATAGTAGTATGTAATGTAGTATAGTAGTACGTAATGGGTAAAACTCCCGCTTCAGTTTGGTTGTGGTGACACATAACATAAAGCAATTTTTTCGTCCTGTTTTTAAGGCCTGACAGGCAGGGTAAAGTGGGCAGGGCAACGTTTTCAAGTTGCCTTCCTTTCCCATCTTGGATTTCCACATTGGCACTTTAAACTTTAAATGTAATTATAATTAATTGTAATTTGTTTACCCACGGAGCACTTAGGAGTTCACCAAAACTCGTTGAAACTTAACACCCGTGCGTTCAAGATGCAAGAGGGGAAAGAGAAAACCAACAACAAACTCAAACCACATATGGCGTCGACGCCAGGATTAAAGCACAGGCCATATTGGTGGAAGGTGAGAGTTCTCCCCACTGCGCCAGCCTTGTCCCCCTGTAAAAGTACCTCGAGTACAAAATGCGATTATTTGGAGGGTGCTGTCCAAGACAAGAAAAAAAATATCGTACCTTGATCATGGCAACGCTGGGAGTGAAACGGGCACTTGACTGACTTATTACCTAGTACAAAAAAGAAAGAAACGTTGGGTTAAATTCGAAAATGAGAATGAGAAAGAAAACAGCGTTCTCACCATTACCGCAGAGCTTCTTTGCCGCCTCTAAGATCTACATGTACTACTTTACACGTCACTGAATTTTCAAAATTACATTTCGTTAAAATATAACAATAATTACTCAACACTACTGAAACATTATTCAACGATTACCGGAGAGAACAGAGAAAACCATAAGTTCACGGTTTATACTCTATGTTAGGCTAACTTGATTGTGACTACGCCATCCCGCGTCCCTTAATACCGTCGGTTGCATTTAAGCGTGTGCAAGTGAGTAAAGAACACGCTCTAACTGGGTGCAAACATGACGTGTTTTGCCGCCAAACATTCCACGTCTGGGGTAGGCGGCTGATGTCGACTTGATTTGTTTTCGCTCTACAAAATATTCTTTAAGCAATTGGAAAGAAGAAGCCTGAAAAAACTCAGGGCTTCAACAGGAAGCCCTGAGTTTTTTCAGGCTTCTTCTTTCCAATTGCTTAATTGGAAAATTTACTGCGATGATCATTCTTCACTTTCATCTACAACCGCACTCCAAATTGGATTATTTCATATATACTTCACAAAATATTCTTTGCGAGAATTTTTAGACGTCAATAACAATTTCTGGAGGCAAGTGTGCTGTTTCTGAGCGACAAATATGCCTAAAAGTTGAGGAAAATGAAATGAGCGGAACACGCTCATCAAAAACATGTCATCAACTTACCTTTGGCGCGACAGTTTGCTTTAACGGCTGTCAAACTTGAAATGTTTGGCGGCAAAACACGTCATGCCTGGCACCCTATTAGAACATGTCTTTTCTGTCTCGTGTACACGCTTAGATGCAACCGAGAGTAGTAACCGTCTCCCAAGATTGACGGGTGTTTCTTGGAACTGGGGAAGCTATTGTTGGTATGCTTTTGTGCTGTCGTGTGGGTGTTAGTCAGTGTCGTTTCATCTTTTGTATTACGTCATTTGGTTACCGCAACCATTCGCAACACCAAAAACAATCAAATTGATAGAACATTAAAATCTCTAGAATGAATGAGTCGGTTAACGTCATTGCCTGCGTCGCAGACGCTCTAAACCTTCCGTACAACGGGTTTAGACGAGTGGGTGGGCTGGCTGGGACGCAGGCTAGTAACGTCATTGTATGTGCCTTTTGAACGGGTGCCTAAGTTTTTCTCAGGCAATTTAACTAAATGACTTGGGACGCTATTTTCGCAGTACTGTGGTTGTTGTCAAATTGACTAATGCTTAAATGATACTTGTAACTCGGGTGAAATAAATGACACTGATATCACTGACTAGCAACTCGGTGGTTTTACCTCTTGTATGAGGGAATTGTGCTTCAGTACTTTCCTGGATTTCATAATTCTCACAATGGCAGCCTACACAATCGATAAATTAAAAAACAAACAAATCAACAAACAAACCAAAACGTAAGAATAAAAAGGTAAGAGAGGATTTACCGTTTAAGGTTTTAGGGTGAAAAGACCCAGGGTCCACACAAACGAAGTAAATGAACCATGGACATCTACTCACCTGTAGGTACATTTTCCTGTCTTCATCAACGGATGAAAGCGTCTGCTCTGTGTCCTGGTTCAAGAAAAAGGGATAAAGATAATGATAAAGAAAAGAAAAGGAAAGAAAACAGGGATGGTAAGACAACCGACTGAAATTCTGCGGGAAACAAACCATCAAAGCTTTATTAAGCACATTTCGTTGGAGATGGAGTACAGGTTGGTTGGAAGGAGTTTTTGAAAAAAAAGTAGTAACCATTACAAGCCCCCGTGCCGCAAAGATCACTTTGTGTTTCCGTTTTAACTGTTTTCCACCATTTGATTGTTATTTTCATTTCTATAGCTTTCACTTTTCAGTACCATGGTTAAAACACTAAAAGAACAAGACAGGAGCAAGGTAACGAGCTGGCGAGCAAACTAAGATCAAAAGAGCGACTTGGAGAGGTTTTGAAACTGTATACATGGATGGGAGTGCCGAATGACTACCTCGCTAAGCTACTAACTTGCTAGCTTGCTTACTAACGTTCTGACTTACCAGCCAACCAACCAACGAAACAACTAGCCAACACACAAACTAACTGACTGACTGACTGAGTGACTATATAAATAAATAGAGAGATAAATAAATAAATAGCATTTTAAAATTCGTTTCATTTCTCAGCCAAATCAATGAACGATACCTGTGGAGTTTCTCTCTGTACTGCTGTTGTTATTTTTAGCTTCGTCCTTTTGCTAGAAAAGTCCATGTTCAAAGAGTATGTACACCTTGTAGGATCAGACCCCTAGGAGAAAAAAAAAGAGGAATGTAGTACAATCGGCGCGCAAATCAATGAAGCAGAAGAGGCTTTCAATGGCATACCAGCTTTGGACAAGCCGTTTTGGAATCGCGGTGATTTTGTTTGGTCTCGTTTGTGTAGTTTTGCCTAATATTCGCTAAGAGACTTACAAAACACAGTACAACTACGCCTTAGCAAAGCTACTAGAATGGAGAAGGTATTCTTACCTCGGACATAGCTATAAGTCGCACATCCACCAGGGATTGCAATGTTCTAACTAATTCTTTTTCTACAAGTTGGGTCTGTTCTTGAATGTCACTGAAACAAAAGAGACAATGATTGAGCGGTTTTGACAGCAATCAATCAAAAACAATCGAAATAGTTGATACTAAATGAGTCCCGGGTAAACTTGCCGGGACGGAAACGTGGATGAATCACTGTCTAGCGGATAGGTATTGGATAACCAGTTTTATTATATAAACACCAATCAAATACCAGGTGAGCTTTCGCGCGAAAACTTGATATCTTCACATGTAAAAATAACGTGTTATCTTCACATGTGAAAATATCACCGTTGCTATGGCTACATAATAAATCGCGCCTTTCACACCAAAAAACTATATAATTGAAATGGTTTGGTATTTCATTGGTGTTTATATAATAAATAGAACATTACATGGCCGCTTTCACTCGAATATTTTTCAAAACGAGAAGAGAAATTTCGTATCTCCAAGCGGCCATCTAATATCCTCTATGTGCTATTCATATCCAGTGGATAGTGTTATCCATCTTTTAAGCAAGTGGGGCCTGGGCCCTCCTGTTTGAAGGTCGATAAACGTTAACCAAGGGTTAACTTTTTATCCTGCTTCCTTATTCTTTGGGTCAAAAGTTTCTTGTCGCAGCAGACACTGCGACGACAAGACTTGAACGAGGGTCTACTGATATCCGAGATTTGACGTTTTCATTAACTTCAATCAAGTCTTCCACATGTCAAAGCCGGGGCTTTAGCATTATGTACTGACTTACCTAAAAGATAAGCTTTCCTTGTCATTAAACAGTAACATAACCGACATCTGGAAGGTTGTGACTGTGATAATGTAGGGACGCTTGAGGTGACTGACTTTGATCTCACCTACAGGGTAATGAGCGTAACATAACTTACTTTAATGTTCGACTTACGCTGGGGGCTAATTTAGTGGTTGATTCAACAGGGAGGGGACTCAAGACGTGGAAAATGATTATCTAGATGAGTGTCCTGAAAAGAACTACCATAAGCTGCTACTGACGTTTCGACAACCTGCGCAGACGTCATCTTCAGAGTCAAAAGTGGGTTGGTTTTGGTCAGTTGAAAGGTAACTCTTGAGAGCAGGAACTATAAATATTCAGCCATTCAAATGAAAAGGTTTTGAGCTGAAAACAAGGTTTACTACTCACCAGTAGACAGGTGTTGGAGCCATGTAAGCTTGCGACCATTAAATCTTCCATTGTAGAATTGTTCAAACTGCAAATAATATCAAGGCATAAAAATTAATACTTAGGCATCGGCGCCAAGACAATCAGGTGAAAGACCTTAAAGGGGCTGTGTCACGGCAGTCCACTTCATTTTGTTTAAATTTGCCAATCACTCGCCCTCAATCGCTATGGAACTTAAAGTAAGCAAAGAAATCACAGGTAAATGACAAAATCAGAGATCCGAGACAAACAAGTATGTCTTCTGAGCATTATTTTTGAAGTTGCAAGCAGCAGGCATCAACTTTGAAAAACTGTTAGGCTTAACAGTTTTCAAAAACCATAATTTCAATCCGTTTCAATCTTCTTCAGTTTTGCCCATCCGTGGCATCTGTTGTTTCTGTTATGTTATTTGAACCTTCCTTTAAAGTTTTAACCGGTTATTTTTATGTTTCTCTTAATGTAACGGGCATTTTGTAATTTCCTAATTTGGCTGAATTTCGTGACACAGCTCCTTTAAGCGGACATAGTAAAGCAACTTACCATCTGAACAGACTTGACTAATTCCTGTGGTATGGATAACGGCGAAACAGTCGTCTGACCAAGAGGCCAAGCACCGGACTAAAAATTAAACAGAACAATGCATCAAGTCTACATACACAGTCTTTGCGAGCTTTCGTTACCTGGCTTGTTGTTAGATCGTGTATTTGTCTTTCTTGCAGTAAATCATTGATTAAGCCACTCCGGGGTTTATTTATCTCGAGCGCATTTGACAGGAGCAAGGATTGGCATAGTTGAAAAATGCGCGGCGTTCTGTGCGAGAGTTCCCCATTGTGACCTGAGACCAGCTTTAAATACCGTACATCCTCTATAAAGCACCCCTCCCCCGGCCCCCCTTCTAAAATAAGCCACTCCTTTTCAGGGGAAGAAAGTTAACAAGCTCCCCTTCCCTCCCCTAATTATTCTTCACTAATAAATGGTAGACTGTATTAATCAATCACGACTGAAAACCTTCCTGTGGACTGATCCGGGATGGTTTATTCACCAACTGGAAGTTCGGATTTGATTTTGATCCTCGGCTGCATTACCTAAACCTTCTTGTCCTTAACCTATTCCAATCTGCATTCTAGTTCTTTATAAAGAACTGATACCATCATCGTTTCTAAATTAAATAAGCCACCCCCTCCTCTATTAATCGCCCCCCTTCAAATGGGCTTGAGACAAATAAGCCCCCCACGGGGGAGCTTAATACAGGATTTACAGTATCCGAAAAACAAAGCACTGATGGAGAAAAGGAGCGGGGGGAGGATTAGCACTGGTCAGCCTCAGGTTTCGAGCTACAGACGTAAATAAATCTCACTTTCTTTAAAGGGGCAAGAAGAAACGGTCATCCCATATTTACTCGAAAGAGTACCTTGGCATTTTCCACTTTTTGTCATGGCGCTTTTTACTATTTTTGCTTCTAAGCGCAGCGCTTATTTGGAAGCGCTGCTAATTGTGTAATATCCTGGGTACCAGCGATTTTTGACGCGCAGTTTCCGGTTTCGGTCAAGTCTTCGCACGTGTCTTCGGCCTTCCGAACATCTGTCGGTCGGCGCAGAAGAAATCCTCTGGTACCCAGGGTAGGGTAGGGGTGTAGGAGGTTTACTGGTATGCCTGTGCCAACCATTAATGTTCCTCCGCACCGGATAATATATTTTTAGCTTGCTATTTACTTCATTTAAAGTTCAGGCATTCATTCGGTATTGAACAGGGAAGCAAAAGTAAACACTTACCTGTAACACGAAAAGACTAAAACCAACTCCAAGGGAAGCATTGGCTTTGGAAAGGAAATCATTAAAACTAGAATTCAGATCTGAGCTGATGCTGATATCTGTAAACATACGATGAAGCTTGTTTGTATATTCATAACCACACGCATGCTGCAATAACAAACACAACAACAAACAAGTTAAGTGGCCTTCATTGAATTGATGTTAGTTCGAAATGGCAGGCCTGGTTTGCTTTTCACACCAAACTGGACAGAAATGACACGAAAATTACATAACGAACGACATAAGTGGAAATTGGAGGGAGGGGCGGGGATTAGGGGTGTGGTTCTGCAAAGTGGGTGGGCTTGTAGTACTGTGGTACAAAGCACACCCCCTCCCCGCCCCCCTCCTCCCACCCAATCTCAGATGGATATCATTCAGTGGTCTATTCACAAGCTCCAAGATGAAAATGTACAAAGATTGTGAAAACTGATGCGAAAAACGCGCAGGGGCTCTTTTTGCCCGCCGCCGCCGCCCTCTTTGCCAGATCACGCGCGTCCTATTACCTGGTAGAGGCTTAGCATAAGACACTGTTAACGCGATGCTGTGGCAGCTTACCTTCAATCGGCTGATCATTCCTTCTTCAGCGTCCATTGAAACGGACAGTGTATGAATGAGCCTTTTTGCTAACATTTTAGAGTAGAACTAAACAGAAGGATAAATTTATCATATTAGCATTCATCACAAAGGATCAACACTGCAGCCTCTAAAAGGGCCTATTTCTTCAAAAATGTTACAGGAATTACTGCAGTGTAAATAATTAAACTCTGCTAGTTCATGAACTACATTTAACCCTTTAAGCCCCAGTATCCACATACAAATTCTCCAAACTCATCTCCATACATTTCCTTTAAGAATTAGTTGAGAGAATTTAATAAAACATCAAGGCATTTTCTCTTTCGTGATCATTTTTTATATTCTCACAACCTTATCTCTTGACAATGTATGGATATTGTTAGGAGAAAATTGCTGTTGGTCACTATTGGGACTTAAAGGGCTAATGTTGAGAAAAAAAAACAACAACAAAACCAGATGCATGTAGCCCGCATAGCAAGTTTCGAAAGGGGTAGGGGATTGCACCTGCCATGCACAGAGGGTAAACCAGATGTATTATATTCCACTGCACTTATCTAGAATTACACAAAGAGCAATCAGTCATTACCTTTTGAAAAATATCCTTGTCATCAATATATTTAAAAATAATTATCTGCAGGAGGAAAAAGACAAACATCAATTAAGTTCTAAATTGTGATTCATGTTATTACAATGAAATGAGATTTGGAGCGACCAGGGGAAACAATCATCGTCACAAATCTTGTTAAGGAAGTAATAATGATAATAATCAGTTAATTATCCTGTCCCCTTACGGGTAGACTTTTCACAGTCCTCTATTTTTCCCTAAGATTATCAAGATCGAGCGCTTTGCTTTAAGGGCTGCCATCTTGTATGAGTGTCAAAACTACTTAGAGGGCGGGGCGGTTTGGGAGGAAACTACATTGTATAATCTACAACAATAATCCCCGACGCCCGCCCCCCTCGGTACATTTGAAAATCAAGAGGGCCTCGACGATCTCATGAAAAAATAGGGGACTGTGAACAGTCTACCTTACGGAGCTTTTCAGGGATAATGAAACAAATAAATTCAAACAGAAAACAACAAGGTTAAGAATCCTGACAGGTAGGAGGCAAACAAGTTGGCTATTTACAAGTGTGGCCGAGGATTTGAACTCAAGACTACCAAGAACAAATCCAGCTAGCGGTCAGCATGGGATTTGAACTCAGGGAGTCCAGATAACAAGTCCAGCGCTCTAATCACTCAGTCATGCTGCCTCGTCCTCCTTCCTTGTCAGACGATTCTACTTCCAGTCCTGGAAAATGGTTATATTTCTTGGAAATGAGAGAGTTTTTTCCCTCAGTAATTCACTTACAATATCACTAAGCTTTTCATCTAATTCTGCATCACTAAGATTCTTTGTGCTTTTCTTTAGTATGGAGTCACAATATTTAGCGAGCTATAACAAGAAAAAAAAGCATTAAGTGACAAACAAACTGTTTTAAAAACCAATGAATAGTGATGGTATACAAATTTTGACCAGCTAGAGGAATGCAACATGATGTCCTCAACAAAGAAAGGATTTTTACTACTCTTGTATAAAATTGTTATTTTTGCAATACTAAATCTAGGTCAGCCATATTATTTTATTCAACACTTTTAATTTATTACTGACCATTTAACAAATGGACAGTCTATACTCTCACAGACTATAGCTCATGACCAATCAGTGTGGCGTGATCAGTGAGAAATTACTCAGTTATTGTATTGATATTTACCAGTTCTGGTGATTTTGAAGACCGCCTTGGATCATGTTTATAATTCACTATAGTTGCACAGGCCTGCAAAAGAAAAAAATAATTTTAAAGGTTTTGGAAAGCTATTAAAATCAATAATGACAAGAAAAATCATGGCTGAAGGCCGATACAGTAAAAATACAATAAAATGTACAATATTTTATTTACCCACCCTACATCTAGAAAAGATAAAAACTCGTTAAAACACGCGTGAAAGTAAAAACAATAAAGACAAAAAAAATAACAACAATAATTAGAAATTACTATTCCTAGATTATCTATCTACGTACAAACAATTAGTAATATAATGATTTTTTTGATATATATACAATCTAAAATTCATCTACATACAAATAGTATTAACATCAATTATTAAAATTATTTAAAAGCATCACTCTGAAGTGATCATCATGTATTATTTTAATACTAAAAAGGAAACCCAAATAATTGTTTCCTGATGCACATGTAAACATCGGGACACTGAAAGACATTATGATTGTTGGTTGTATCTATTGAATTCACTGTCAGTAAATACTAACTAAAAGTACAATAAACAAATCAATCAATAATTAGAACCTTACAGAGCCCTTGAAAAAAAAGAACACAACTTTCATCATAATCTTGACTTCTATCACAGACCTAACCGCACCTATTCACTGGGCACTACATTTGTGCAAGTACATGACTTCTTTACCTTGTCTAAAGCAGACACAAAAGCTGCATCATCCTTGAATGTATCTTTGATAAGTTCAGAGAATTTCCTATGGATACCTAGTAATTCATCTATATACTGCTGTGGACCCTACAAATGGATATTAGAGCAAACTAATGAGTACTTAGCCATTACGTGACTGCTATGTCTTTCATTCATTTCATTATCTCTCTCATTACATGACTGCTAGGTCTTGTCTCCCACCAACATGCTTAGGGTTTAAACAAGGCCTTCTTAGGGTGGTTACATCATAATTATGTCCCCAGTCTGAATTCTAAAACCTGTTGTTTCGTATATTGAGGAGGAAGCCATGTCACTGCCGTCGGTATTTTACTATTGTATTTGGGCTTTTGTCTGTCATTGTCGCAGTTTCAACCTATCTTTGTGTCGTTTGTCACCATTATTTTTTGCTGTCCTGTGTCACTGTTTCAAATCCATGTCAGTCGTAGGAATTTTGCCCTAACAGAGCCTCTTAAATCCTGGATGAGTTTCCACATGTGGGTCACTCATGCTCTGAAAAGGTTTTTCTTATAGTTTGTTTTTTACTTTTGCAATAATTAACAACCAATTAAAATTATGTGGAGTTCCTGTAAACTAACCAGAACAGCTTAGTGCACTTCCATTAAATACAAAAAAAAGCACTTTATTTGAGTGTCAAGGTATTTAGCACGAGAAATACTATTTTGGGGAAACTATTTTTACGTCTCCAACTGGAGACGGGACCGCCATTCTATGTGGTGATCAGAGCCACACAAAGGTCTAGCGGCTTGCAGTGCAAAGGGAGTACTTTCATTTCTCAGTTATTTTAAGACCCTAAGTAATGATCCGGCCCCAGGAACCCACAACCTTCCACTCTGTAGTCAAACACGCTACCAACTGAGCTAATCCTGCTGCGGTTAAAGCATCAAGATTTATTTTCCTATTTACTTACATTTTCAAATTTGATTGATTTAATGGACTGGAGACCTAAAAAGGTAAGAAAAGAAAAAACAAGAAGAAAACAAGAACATTAGAGCAACATGAACATTCTGTATCGTTTAGCAAATAATGATTTTGAAGAAAACTATTGATAAAATCCCATGCATAAAATGCAAAAAAATCGTAAACATTTAGAATTTAAAATTATGGAGTTCACCCTACTAAAAAATTTACTATATTGGAAAATTCCTAAAATTCTAAAAGCAATATTTACAGGAGCTAAATGGAAAGATCTACAAGGTTGATGCATTGCATGCTGGACTTAAAAGATTGTATAGGTTTGTCTTTGACTTTAATACTGTCTAATCTAGACCACAATAATTATATGTGGTCCAAAGTACAGTGTACCTCACATGTTTCCTGTAATATACAGTATTAAATGAAATCATTCCTTATTTCTTAAGTGATACATGTAGTTGAATGACTTAACACTAAAAATGTTACTAACATCACTGGGTGTAAAAAAAAAACAAAGAAATAAAAGCAGAGAAGATCAAAGACCAAAATTGGAAAGAAAACAAAGACTTGAAACCCTACATAATGTAACTTTCACCATTTTTTCTCATCAAAGTGTTAAATTAAATTACAATGTACCAGTAGTCACTTTCCATACCTGTTTTGGTAATGTGTTCTTCCAGTTCTGTAACCATGGCAATAAGTCCACAAGGGATTTGCTTCAGCAGTTTGAATAGTTTTGCAAGATCTTAAGAAAAGACAAATCAAAGATTTTTTTCATAATTGAATGATATAGAGCTGATTAAAAATCTAATCAAAGTAAATTCCTTCTAAAGTGTTCTGTTAATCACAGACATAATAAAATAATCCAATTATGCTTTTAATGTAAATTTAATATTGATAAAATTATATTATTTCAAGTGTTAAATAAAGAGTACCCAGATTGACCATCACAGTTTCTATGTGAACAAAAATGTTGAATATAATATACACCGTATTTACCAGGTCTGTTTTCATCCTTGACCATCTGTCGGCATTCTCCTTGTAAGTATGGTATGTAGTCCTCTACCATGCGAGCTTCACACTCTCTGATGACACGACTGTATGACACAGGATGAAAAAACTTTGTGCATCTTAGGTCCTCATCTTGGATCCGTGTATCAACCTGGTTATAATAGGTAAGGACATGCAATTACAACTAACCAGAAGTTTAAATAAAGTCATTCTGTGGTTCTGATAATATGAAATTCATAAATTCATTATTACACCATCATCTGTCCCAGGTATACCACCAGTTGCATCTAATAAGTGTGAACATAAGACAAAAAGCATGTTCTGATAGGGTATCAGACATGATGTGTTTTGCCGCCAAACATTTGAAGTTTGACAGCCGTTAATTTGTTTATATTATGTTTTTGATCAGCGTGTTCCGTTCATATTTCATTTTTCTCAACTTTCAGGCATATTTTCATCTGGTGATGAAACAACAAACAAAATCATTTTTGAAGGAGAAATTAAGGATGCAAATACTAAGCAGTGTTTCATCCGAAACCAAACACAAAACATTATTCCTAACGTGAATTAAAATTTTGAGAACAGAAATTCAATATTTTGTTGACCGAAAACAAATCAAGTCGACAAAAGTCACCTATTCTAAACTTCAAATGATTGGGGAAAACATGTAATGTTTGCATCCAGTTAGAACATCTTTTTTTCCTGACGTGTACACGCTTAGATGCAACCGACAGTAAATTACATGTACAAACCAATTTAATGACAAGCTCCCAGTTGGCTTGCTACAGTAGCTCAATTGGTTAGAGTGCTCCACGGGTATCACAGAGTTCAGGGTTCAAATCCTGGCAAGCCTGAATTATTTCAGGCTTTCAACTGCATAAGTTACTTCTTCAACTTCAATGATCTTCTTTGCTTTAATGTATTCATTCGATTCCATGGTTTCAAATGTAAGAAATTCACAATATTCAAAGTTTACTGTAAAGTCAATGCCAACAAAAAATAACTTAAAACGAAGAATACAACACCTTTGTAATAAACAAATGGCAGGTGTTATCTGCATGAAGTTCTGCTGCTTCCCTTCTGTAATATGATTTGGTTTCCTCCAAAAGCGGTTTCTCTAACACTTCCTCATAGAGCTAAAAACAGAAAGAAGCTTAGTGAGGACACTTTTATGGTGGGAACATTTGGAATTTTTTAAACCAATTTTTTTAACAAAAAGTGTTCATGGTTGGAGTACATTCTTTTTGTACCATGCGCTTTGACTGATAGAACTCACAGAGACAACACATTTCGGATAGTAATGAATTTAATTTAACATTCGCAAACAACATATTTGGCCAACAACTCCCAACATTGTTGGATGTTACATGCTGCGTGCGTTGCATGTTGCACAAACTTTGAAGCTGCTCAAACTTTTCAGTCAACAACTCCCATCATTTTTCTCTTGTTCCATGATCACCCACGCATAGCACAATGCTCAATGTTGGATCAGTTTGCACAGCTCTTCCAACATTGTTGGGGCCATGCACGCACATCACACATGGTCTCCTTTGAGTTTACAAAGTCTTACGGGTTGTATCCTTTCCACGATGATGTGTGCTCCAGGTTCTAACATTGCTGGGAGTTGTTGCATCTGCTTGCACACCACTGCCAACATCGAGGCAACAACTCCAAACGTTTTTTATGCAACAATGTCGGGAATTCTTGCGTCAGTTAACACGTAGCTTAAGCCCAGTGGCCTAATAATTTTCATCTGATAATTGCTAAATATCAGACAAAGCAACAGACAAACTCTTTTTCTCATAATTATAAAGTTTTATACAACTGGCCCTACATGTGACTGTTATAAAATAAGGAAAACTAAAATTAAACTTACATGGAGAGCTCCTTTTACTTGATACTGTTGAACTTCCACTGAAACAAAAAACAGTAAGAATTATAAGATATTACACAAAAATTATAATGGCTACCAGAGATTTTGTTTACAAAGAAACTAACGAAATATACCAGGTACATGCATAAAGGCAGCAAAACTTTAATACAGTATTTAAGGAGTCAAACAAACAAATTAACAAAGACATTGAGTGCCTAGGGGAAGTCTACAGAATGCTATAAGACTAGACATAATGTTTACATAACTATTCTTTTATTACTTAATTTGCCAACTAATTTTCACTATTTAAATATTATTAAAAAAGCTTGTTATCATCATTATTCTAATACATGAACCATACAGTCAAGTGTTTGGAAGGCTTACCAAAGGATAGAACTGTGTCATGAATGATATTTTGGTGAGTGTCTTCTCCATCTCTATCCCTGGCAGGATAAATTTCATTTAATTAGTTATTATGTAAGTACATTTACAGCTGTAGAAATTTCCAAGAGGACAGAAATGAAGAGCGTCTTCAAGAATGTCATATGTCCCCCTTTTACTACATTTCTGCTACAAACTTGTTACAACCTGTTTATAAGGTGAGGCAGCCAGGGTTGAGCAATCAGAAATTATCTCAGCATGCTGGGCCATTCCACCTTCTCATATAAACACAACAAAAATTTTACGAGAACAAGGAATGAGTCGAGCTGGACTGATAAAACGGGTCAGCCTGGCTAGGCAGGCTGACTCACCTCATCTTATAAACAGGCCCTTAGAGGGTACATGTAAGAACTCATTCACACAATATACACGACTGTCACTGAGGGCGCGGCCGGACTGGGGGACGGGCATTTCCCCCAGTTCCTATCAGCATTGCCTAGTTTCAAATCAAGAGAGGGGTTGGGGTACGAGTCAGTTTATTATGGGGTAATCAACACGAGAGCCTGTAAAAAATGTTCAGGGTTATCATGATTCCTTTTAAGAACAAAATAAGAAGATAATTGCACTCATAATATCCCAGAGAAATGTTATGGAACTCTCTGAGCATGGAACCAAACAAAAACATGAACTGTATACAATGTATGACAGAAAAATGCTTTTAAAATTGGTAACACTGTAATTTGCAAACAGTGCACCCACAAACACAATTCTAGTTTCATCTATTTTTGAATAATCACCATAAGCAATCACCATTTTACATGTAAGGAAAACTGAGGAATAAGTTTAAATATTTATATCAAATATTTTACTTTTTCACTTCAATAAGCACATGCTCCACCAGCATCGTTTTCAAAGGCTCTATCATCTTTCGTTTCCAAATGTCCAGTGCAAGCTGATGATTTAAACACAATATTCAACCCATTAATTTAAATTAGATTAAAATTAATTTTACTCAAGCTCGGCTCAATTTGTAAAAGGTTACATGTAAATTTGCCTGCGACTAAGTACAAAGTGTTCCCCAGATTGACTAAACAGAGCCTCTGCAACAAGCTACACTTACCTGTAGTAGCTTTCTATTTTTTCATTATTATTTTGAGTAAATGTATGAAAAACAAAGTTTCTTCAATGAAATAGTGCTGTTATCAGGGTTCTCAATAGATTTTTAAGTAGGAGGTCATCACTGATAAAGTAGGAGGCTCTTCAGCAAAGTCAGAGGTGTCAAAACAAAGCAAAGAAAAGCGACTTAAACACAAAGTAAGCGGCGATCAATCGCCGGGTGCCGCCTTCTATTGAGAACCCTGTGTTGTTTTTACAATTTTTTTAAAGATAGGAAGCCTGTTTGATGAGAATCTGCAAGCTTATACACTGTTGAAACCAAAGCCTTCAATGAAATGGCACTGTCACTTTTATAATTTTAGTGCCATTGTAAAAGAAAATACAATCCTTATATGAAACTGCGGGGTGAAGAATTATGTGAAAGAAGATCATCACAGTTCTTATATATGATTGTCAGATATTCACAACTTCATCATCATCCTAGCCGAATAGGTAAGAGCACTGCACCAGTAACAAAGAGGTCAAGGGTTCAAATCCCATACAAGCCTGAATTTTTTTCAGGCTTTCTTTTCGCTACTGCAAAAGTTGTGTCTATAATTGCGATGATCTTCTTTCATATAATTCTTCACCCCACACTTCTCATATATGATTGTCATATAAACATAACTTCAAACTACAGTCGGTTGGCTCATAATCTTGTGTCCATGGATACGCTTTACAAGTCTAGATCTTTAATACACTCAGATTGTATTATATAATAATTAGTATTAACTTACTGCTCCAACATCCATGACTTCTTCCATTGCATCAGGACAGACTGAGATACTGTAGGGAGAGATTTCTCCATAATCCTGTTTCTGCTTTTTAAGATGAGTATTTAGATATCTGCAGAACACAAAGCAGTGGATGGTAAACTTTGTTTCGAAATAACACTCACACAAAAAACCAGATTAGGTTGGCTTTCCATTTCCAAAAAGTCATAGTTATAGCTGTAGATAAATAAATAAATTTTACTTTTAATTGGTCTCAGGATCAACTTATGTGAACGGTCTATAAGTTAGCTGTTAAGTTTTCTTACTTCACAGCAATTAAAGGGGCTATTGTATGTCACAAGGCAGGTGTGGATCCACACTGGTTTTCACTGTTTAACAGAGTTTCAAAATAGATATATTTTAATATAAAAAAAACTCTCCAAGTTGAAACCATTCTATCTCAAAGGTAAAATTGAAATCCATGCCGCTTGTCATGCACAAAGTGATGGATTACCGTAAAATTCCGAAAATAAGCCCCCCCCATGTATAAGCCCCTCCAAATATAAGCTCCCCAAACCGTTAACGGAAAAAACCCTCTGTTAAATCGCTCCTCCAAATATAAGCCCCCCAGGGGCTTGTACTTGGAAAATTGCCCTCAAATACAAAGTAGAACAAAGAAAAAATGGTAAATTTACTTCCAACTATAAGGCTAGCTCTATCGAGTTTGAAACGCAAATTTCTCTCCGTAGATAAGCCCCTCCGAATATAAGCCCCTCCAAAAATAAGCCCCTCCAAAAGGGCCTTTGAAAAATATAAGCCCCGGGGCTTATTTTCGGAATTTTACGGTATGTTAACTACATGTGAAATCATTCAGAACGACCTTTGAACATTGACACATGCCTGTTTGTTTCGTACAAAAAAAAAAAATTCTGTGGAGTTTAACAACAAGCCAACACCAGTATGTTAAATTTTCCAGCCTGCTTAACTGAACACTGTACTAAAAGCCAGAGTACCTGGCCAGGCGACTGTGAATTTTTTTCACTCACCCGAACCTAAATGTTAGTCTCCTCAGGCGACTGGGCGCCATTAGAGTACAGCCTTGGAAGGGTTTAGCTTTTTAAAAGGTACAGCAAATTGTTATTTGGCAATCATTTTCCTCATGATACCTCATAACAACCTATTTACTACATGTAACTCACCCAAATAACAGGTTCATATAAAAGGAACCTTTACTGAATTGCATCCAGTGACTGTGGTAAAGTCGCAGTATGTCCACATCAGGGACACTGATAGCCTGCACGGATAAAAAAGCTTCTGAGTATTTTTCTTTCTTATTCTACAATGTAAGCACCTGCATATAGGGACCCTGACTTTTGGACCTTAGGGTACTAAGCAATGGTAACAGGACTGAGTGGAGTCCAATTCGGTCTGTAATCATAAAAGTGATTAACAAAATTGGACGACCGCGTAGCAGGAGTCCGATTTGTTTAATCACGACTATGATTACAGACCGAATTGGACGACGCGAAGTTCTGTTACCAATTAATTATAACTTTAACAAAATTTGTGATATAAGAGGCTCCTTTTTTAATCAAAACACAAGAAATTCCGAGATTTTTTTTGCTAGCAGTGACAAAAAAAAAAAGCCATTTAAGAGCGCGTGTGATGGCGCGTACTGTCCAATTACTTAGGCATGACACGTACTGTCCTATTTAACCGTCCTATTAAGGCTGAAATCAGGGCAGTTGATAGCCAATCAGATTTAAGAATTTTGTTATAGTTATGATTAGGAGTATAATAAGGAGTAGGCAAGATGAAGCCAGTCCTGTGTCTCGTTGACTACTTGAGCAAACAAAATAGGCCTAGCTTGCCCGATTGAGATTTCCCAATTTGCTCAGGGTGAAAAGTTTTCTTTTGGTAACTAGGATAAAAGCAGTGTTCTTTCAGGATGGCTCAATATTGGTCAGCCTCACCTATTTTTACGATTATTCATTCTCTTGGTCAATATAAGATGAAAAACAAAATGAACCAGGTAACATTCAACTATCTTGACTACTCACTTGGCAAATAAACAGAAAAAGGATTGCCTTCCCCTGTCCTGTTCAAATTAGTTTGTTCCGCATAATTAAAACCAATATTACAACAGTCTCCTACGAGAGCTTCACTTTTGGCCTAGAATAAATAAATATATATGTATTGTACCGTTTCATATCTACCTCATACAGACTTTGAACATGGTTTTCCAAGAAGTTCTTCACTTCAGCGTAAAGTTTTTCACCTAAAGCTTCTGGAAATGCCACACACAGAGCATAAACATCACTTTCAAAATGTTAAGGAAAATGCAGCAACAACATATATAATAATAATAATAGTTGGGTTATTGGGTTTTCTATGAAACTTTACCTACTTACAGACTTAGAACCTACACACCGTACATGGACAATGCCTTCACTAAATGGAGACAATAGCCACAATTGGGAAGCCCTTTTTTCTAAATTTCAGGGATAAGAACACTAATCTGACTAATTGAAGACAATTGATTTCTGATTTTTGAAGAAAAAGAAATTAGAATCAGATGTTAAAAATTACAAGTCCAGTGTAGATATCAAGAAACTGAAATCAAAATGAAAAATTAGATTGTAGAAATCAGAGATCAGAATAAGAACTCTAAACTCAGAAACCGGGTATCAGAACATCCACCCAGGTTCTCTCTTTAAGTACTGTTTTCTGATTTCTAAAATCTGATTTCTGACTTCTGATTTCTTATTTCTGATTTCTATATCTGAATTTGGCTTTGAATCCCTGTGAACCTTCAGTTATGTTCTAAAAAAATTAAAACACACACTTTCAAATATAAATCAGTTAAGTCTATAATAAGATGTAAATTCAAACAATAGACCCTTACTGATGTTTTTTTTTTCAACTTTTAACATCAGGATCAATTACCGGTAGTCAGCATCCAGGAAGTAGTTAAAAGAGTACCTTAACATTAGATACCTTGCATCATTTGAGGGCAATATAATGTCGGAAATGAGTTAAGATAGAGTCACAAAAATTTTACAGACATTTGTATGACGGGGGAATGTTGTGGCATGGCCTGCCATATAAATCTCTCTCAACCTTTGAAACTCCTCTGATTTTATATTGCTTTTTCTGCGGTCTTCATAAATTCTTGCTTGTACATGTCAACCCTAACCCAAACACGTCACCTCCATCATCAAAAAATAAATGAAAAACTTAATGCAATCAATTCACATAAATAACGTTACAAAAGGCAAATTCATCACAAATTATAGTTATCTTTTTTCCGGGTTAATAAAATAAGGTACCCTTAAAACCCAAATACTGCATGAGAATGATGAAAACTGATACATGTATTAATCAGCAATTTTGCTTTCTAATATTTCTCCATAATGAAAACATTCTCCAGTTGAGATTGGTAATGAAATTTTTAACCATGGTCAGCAGTTCCTTTTTACAACAACAAATTCCGGTACGTAAAGATACTAAGCTAATTATGATCAGTTTTAAATCAGTACGTGTTATTCAAACCAACTTGCAACACTTGTGAAACTTCATGGTTTCTCCATAGCTTAGAAACGTTTTCTCCTGATGAAACTCTAACGCTAAATCAGCGTGTGCACCCCTTATTACGGGCGTCAACGATACATAAGATATCGAAAAGGCAAGAAAGTACAAGGATACGAGAATCTGTCGTTCCACACTGCTCGGGCAATCTTCTTCAGTGTCACTACAGATTGCAATGTTTCCAGGATCTTAGCCCATGTTTCGTCAAAATTCACAATGCGAGGTCTCAGTGACATTTTTCATCGTAGAACAAAGCATGAGTTCAGGAAAATTTAACCGGAAAGAGGAACAGCTAGTAAGATTGGAGTCTAAATCTGTCTTGGGAACTATGACTTGATTGCTTAGAAGCCTCTCCTGCAGCAAGCATGTTGACACCGCCCTGTAGGTATGATGGGATACGTGCTTTAATACATGCTCAGGCAAGGAGCCAAGAAGCTTGGGAACCACAGAACGTGGAATCGCGGGATATGCGGAACCTAGAGAAATCACTTTTATTTCAACGGTAACTCGAACTCGAATAACTCGAACTCCCCGCTTTCTCGAACCAAATTCCTTTCCCTTAATCAAGATTTCCAATGAAATTTACCCTAAGAAATCCTCTCTCCCCTCCCCTTTCCAACGCCTGCCACCCGCCTGTCATTTAGTCGACTGAAGTTCTTATAACCCTGTATTTTTCTTTTTTTCGATCCTCTCACGTGCCCCTTATATATGCCGCAGAACATAGGATCTATAGAAGACCTGATCTGCAAAAACATACAAAGTAGAAACATTGAATTCTGCAAAGCTGACCGTACTACGTGAAAATTAACTTTGCAATACATCAACACGATGTCATGTTGAGGTCTTGCAAAGCCAACTTTCACGTAGTACGGTCAGCTTTGCACAATTCAATGTGTCTATCAGTGAATATCGCTTATATATTGTGAAGAGCAGGTTCCGACACCTGACGGTCAGGGGTAAGGCTTAGGGAAATTGTTTTCAAAATTGTACTTACTGGACTTTGATAAGAGCAACCATCTGTACATCTTGTCCATCACATCCGCTGCAGGGTCCGGATCTTATTCATTGTCCATGCTAGGCCTGCTAGGCATGATGGGACCCAGTTGAAGTAACAGTTGGACAGTTTCTTATAATTCGACTGTTATTTTGTCAGAGATCTTTGTGAGTGTAGAACAGTATTTGTGAAAATAAAAAAAATGCCAAATAAACAAAAAAACTTTTTAAGTATTTTTTCAATTCGAGAGAGGATATTATGTTCAATTCTATTATTACTTTCTTTTTTGTTTTTTTTCTCGCATTTCAAATTTTAAAAAATTTTTTTTTTTTCATTTGTCAGTGTTTTGTTTTGTTTTTTTTTTATCTATTTCTTGGCCGTTTTAGTATTTGTTGCTGTTGCTGTTGTTGTTCTGAAAAACTTCGCAGTCAATCACAAAATTCGATAAAACATAAATAAAATATAGATAAAAAATAAAAATAATATAGGTATTCAATCTTCTGTTTTCGGTCTGCGGCAAGAATGGTGTCGTAGCCAGGAGATAAATCTGTTCACTCTTTCCTTCTGCAAAGATAAACAGTATAAAAACCAGAGGAGATTGATTAGTACTAAAATAGCCAGTTAATTAAACCGCTGTCTTCAAGAACGACGAAGACTTACCCGCACTGATAAGATACTTTTTAAGCTTTTTTAGTCCGAGAAACTGACAGCGTTTTAATTTCCAACAACCTGCCGTTTTTAGTCTTGAACTCTTTTTTAAAGCTGCAGAGCGGCGATGACATGGAAATTAGTAAGATAAGCATAAGAGAGCATGCGCACAAAATGTCGCCTCTACCGAGAACGAAACCCCATTTACACGAGCAAGTTAGAATTTGGGTTTAAAAACAGTTGCTTATGGTAAATACCGACCATGTTGTTTTGCGATGCTCTTGGAAAAGTTAACAAAATCATTTTAAACGTCACCCTAACCCCAGCGTCAATCACGCACTTACTTATTAGTGCATACACAGTTCTCGACATTTCCACGATCTTCATAAAGCTTGATCTACTAAAACCCTTTTAGGCCACTTGAATTTTGTGTAGTATCTGTGAATTTTTTAGCCAACTCACCAAAGACTGTGTTTTTTTCACTCCAGCTCGTTTACGAGTTGAAACTTCCTTTTCACCATCAAAGTCTACAAGTTCACGGCTGTTGTTCGCGAGGGAGAACCAATGCTCGGAAGAAACAGTGGTCGACTGGCAATGTCCATCTTTTGGTTCGTCACTTCCAATTTCGTGTTCCTCTTTACTTTCCTTTGACGAAGATTCAAACGTGTCAGCGTCGCAAGAGGTGATGTTAACTCCGGCTGATTTGGTTACCATGGTAGGGATTAAACGTTCAATCGTTGGTATCCGAGGTGCTCGGCCAACTCCTTTAACAGCTCCAGGTAGTTTGTTTGCTGTATTAAGACACTCAGGTGCAGAAATGGCAAGCTGCAGGTGGTTGCTCGGTCTTGTAGGCACTTCACTGCGGAGAGCTGATAGTTGAGGAACGCCAGGAACTTGACAGATAGACCAACTGGTGATGTTATTATTGAAGAGCAGGAACTCGATTGGGTTTAGGTCTCGGAAGAGAGCATTGCTCGGGATGTAAGCTGTTTGGGGACAGATGCTGTTACTTCTGTCTGACTGGATGACATTCTGGGCTGCCAGAGTTGTTCGGGAATCTGTCTCCGTTTCCTTCACCATGTTCACAGGTGCAGGTATTTTGTCGGCGTCTAATACAGGTACTGTGACTGTTTTCGAACATGGTTTTGATGACACCATGACTCCCGGTGTTAGGCTATAACTGTGAGGCAGCAGTGCAACCGTGTTTTCTTCTATTGATGTTATTTCATTACTGTCGAGCTCTGTGATGGTCGCTCCTCCAGACGATGGCCCAGACCACTGGAAGTACTTTAGCAGTTCAAAATACCCCCAGTAATAATATCTAAGGTGCTGATACACACACTCGCCCAGAATGTAGCCCAAATCGAGTTCCTGCTTTGCTCGGTCAAGTTCTTTTTGTTTCTGCTGAAGCTCCTGGGTGTTCTCATCAAGCTTCTCCAACAGTGAAGTACAGTGAGCCTTCATCTTGAGGTTTTTTCCTTTCTCATGGTTTAATTCCCTAACGGCGTTCTTGTGCCTCCACTTGATGTCTCCATGTGATTCCTTTAGCCGCTGTAACTCTTTTCTCAATTTATTTTCTTTTAACTTTCTCGATGTTTCGAGATCCTTGAGGTTCTTTTGAGATTTTTCCAACTCCTCTCTCTGAATCTGATTATCCTCTTCCAGCCACTGTCGCTCTGATCGCAGGTTATTAATCACTGCAGCTTGTTGGCCTATCGTAGCGTTGTGTCGGTTTACAATTGCTACCAGCTGCTCGTAGCTGTACACATACATCTGTGCCATCGTTGGTCGACGAAAATTTTTAAATGCACCAAAACAATCTTTTTTAGATAAAAATCACTGACTCTATAAAATCTCTCCGTTTAGTTTCAGTTTCGCTTTTCTTTTTCCAAGAGTGAGGTTTGTAGTGATGTCATAAACATGTTAAGATTCTTTTGCGCGCGCAAAGGCTCTTCTAGAGCTGCGATACTAATGGTCAGCAACAGACATGACAGAGCATTTGTGGTTTTGGTAAGCTATTGTGTGATGTATAGAGTCGAGTTGTTGGGTCAGTATTGTTCAGTCACTTTTTAAAGTGTTTCGTTTACAATAATTCCTAATCTCAATAGCATGCGAACACATAGCAAGTGAGTTGATCCGCGCGAGAGAACGCGCGAGCGAGCGGCAAACCACAACAATTCTCGTGCCACTCTCGCGTTGCTACTTCCGTTATGCTTCACAGTCTACACCATTTAACATTCTTTAATTACCAGTCTTTTACCGGAGTGTTATAACTTAGAAAAAGCCGAAATGTTGTTCGTTAGAGGCTAAAACTGAAAATATTTTGCATAAAAAATAAAATGCAACAAAGCTATTTTTTCTCAATCCGTTTTCTCATTACTGCTTAAGTCTTTACACCCTTTTGTGTCTTAGTATTCGGTCAGGCCTATGAATTTCGTTATGAGAATACTTTAGCCTACATACAATCACTTTCTTTTTCTTAGCATCACGCCCTAGAGGCTTACAGAATAATTGCACCTCAGCTTGATTTGACCACTTACTTCCATGTTAGCTGCAAAATTTGCGATTTTTCGACTGCTTTCAATATATCGCAATCGTTGTTCTTTCTCTTGTTAAGTGAAGCGAGTTTGCGGATGTTACAGAAAAATTGCAAAACTTCGAAAATCGCAGGGTCGACCAAGTTGACATAAACAACTATACAACTACCTCGAGAACGCTTATTTTGTAATGCTATTCCTTCTCCCGTACTCCATCTCCCGATGGGCTCGCTTTGCTCGCCGATTTATTTCCTATTTGACCCCTTTTTTGGCCTTTTTCCCCCACTGCGGAGCCCGGTCCCGGCCAGGCTACTCAGATGGTATCCCAAATACAAACTCAGTTGACCATGTCTTTGGTACGGGAAGTTCACCCTCACATGAGGCCGGACTCACCTCAGTCAGTCTGCTCATCCCCTTGATGCTCTGCAATAATGATCTTCAATTTCTATAATGATTTTATGTTTCGTGTTATATCACTTATATCAGTTTTGGATTTTTTTTTTTTAAGGTTAGGATTTTAGGGGCCAGTTAATTTTTGGTCAAGGGATTTTTTTTGGGTTTTTTGTTGGAAGTCCTAGCCTTCTTTTTAGTTTTGATTTTTGTCCACATTAGATCATCCCCGTCCCTTGAAACCCGAGTTCCCCCAACCACCATCAACCCCCGCTGCTGCTGACGGGCATCGTCATCCGGGGCCCCCAGGCCGATATTGGACAGTTTGCTCTGTCCCTGGGGAAAGAAAGCCCTTTCATTTTCTCTAAACTCACCCCCCCCGTACGGAGACAAACTCAGTGTCCGTATCCCAGCCCCAGGTCCAAGACCTTCGAAAACTATACATACCTTCTCTCATGACCTCACGACACATCCTGGGCAGGGGAGGGTACTGCCATATATGGGCTATATAGGTATGTGCCGCTGTGAAGGGTATGGCGAAGTTTCAAGCAGTTTACTCTGGCATAGAGTATATAAATCAGAGAGTTTGGGTCTAGAAAAGGGTATCATTTTCCATTTAAACTGATCAATTGGCTGAAGATTTTAGTCTAGATTAGGAAAACCGGGAATTGCCACTGAAGAATATAAAAAAATCAAATCGGTTTTGTTTTGGCTGGACTGTACTGGTGACCTCAGTTGTTTCTGGAAAACGGCTACTCTAGGATAGGGCAGGATTTGGTGAGTTTAGTCTAGTACATAGGGTAGCAAAATTCACTTGAACTAGCTCTGGTATAGGCACCCCCACCCACCCCCCCCGGGCGCGACACATACTAAGACCCTGTTTACATGGAGTGGGGGACCCCGGTCTAGTGGGGTACGTTTCTTTTGTTTTGTGTCTCCCAGAGCGTGAAAACAAAAGAAACCAACCCCACCAGACCGGGGTTCCCCACTCCATGTAAACAGGCCCCAAGAGAACTTGAGCTCTTGACCATAAATCCACCCCTCCCCCGTTGCGGGCAACAGTTTGTGTAACGCAACTTATGTAGAGCCGGCAATCGTTAGTCACGGTCATGCCAACATGTCTCCACATTATTGAATCAAATGGAAACCTCTGATCAGCAGTTACAGGAAACTGTACTGTCTCCCAGTAGAGTCACTATAGAATCAGAGAGCAATGAAAGCGAGCAAGGTCGGAGCGCTTCTGGCTTAAGGAGCTTTCTCGCCGGCGGTATTGGGGGAGTTGTCGGAGTTAGCATTGGACATCCGTTGGACACTATCAAGGTCGGTACACAGTATTAAAGCTTATGTATTCAGCAACTTCTTCCTGTGTTAGAGCTTTTGTTTGTTAATTGGTTGTTTGTACAACAAAGTTAAATGACAATATCAAGTAGCGTGATATACAGAGTCTTTCTATTTTCTGAGTCAAAGACAACATTCAACGAGTAAACCGGTCGTGTAATTAATATGTGTAAGCTTGTAAGCTTTACGTTTCACCACATTTCTTTAATTGGTTTAATTAACGACCCTGTAATGTAACGTAGTCTCTTTTTCTAATCTCATCTTAATACTGCTGAAGTGAGCCTAATCGACTGAAAGCAACCAAAGGCCGGCGAATTGCTCTCGGGAGTCGATACCTCAATTTCATCCCCGGTCAGGGCTGTCACTAAGGGGGTGTTTACATGACACTACTTCAGGAATTTCTGGGTGGGGATGTTTACAACCCTTAACACCCAGGGAGCGAATTTTGCTACCCTTTCTCCCCCCCGGAGTCTTGATGAAATCTTCAACCAACTGATCAGTTTCCCTCTATCAAACACTCTGATTTATATTCCTGTTTAAATGATAAGCCCATATATGGCACCCCCCGGGATGACAAACTTTTGCTCGGAGCGAGTGTCATATTTGTTGACATGATACCACCACAAAATATCATGCCAGCTTGAGTCACCCCACCTCCTGTTCTTGTACTGGGGCGAGAATTTCACTCCGGTAAGAAATCTTGTTTCATGTAAACACGAAACGATCACCCGTTTCGGTGTGAAATCGGTCTGCTGGTAGACTGGAACGGGTAGCGCATGCGTAATATTTGCGATTTTGATTCACACATGTATTTTATCAACATGAATTGTACCTTCAACTAACAAGATACGAAATGGCCCAGTCAACATGTAAACGTGATACAAAATCACAAAGTCATCCTGGTATGAAACTCACGCCGGTGCGAGTTTTCTCATGTTAACACCCCCTAAGTTTTCAAGTTGGCGAGTAAATGCAACAAGTAGGCTGAGAATCAAACAGGGAATTTCTTTTGGTTCTATTTTTCTTCCATTTTCATACGAAAGTGGCTGGGGGCCGCGTTCTTAGCAACCGGGGGAAATTCCCGGCCCCCGCACCTTAATGACAGCCCTGCATGGTGTTGGGGTACTTACATCCCGGGGGAGTTGTAGAGAATTCAGGCTTGCCTCAAATCCTGACCTCTGCGATACTGTTGCAGCGTTCTAAGCAATTCAGCTAGCAAGCTCATAACTCACTGGAGCTGGTGATTAAATTGGCTAGTATTTAATATCTCTATTGTATGAATGTATGGATTTTTAATATAATCCAGCCTTAAGCAGCCTTAAGAAAATCCTGCAGTGCTCAGTTCCCCATTCCTTGAGTATTGAATATCACCAACTAATGTACTGGTAAAATTGAAAAATTAAAAATTTCACACGCATCGTATTCCCTGCCTTTACTTTGGTAAATTTAAGGAGAGGTAGAGAGCTGAAGACATCTTTAAAAAGAGTGTTGCTTTTTCTTGAAGAATTTCGAGCACTGGTCAAGCACTGATTTGTTTAGATTTTAGGCCAGTGACCGCAAATACTGACAATAACTCTTTCTCATTGATAAAACATGTGTAATCAGTAATCTCAGTGCATATAATCGTCAGTCAACTTAGTCCACATGTATCCAGTGCCTAATGAGTGCCTAATCCGACTTGCTATACTAACGTCCTGGCAGGTATGACCTCTACTTTCTCTTCCCTCTGTGGATTTGTTAAACCAAACAAGATCAGGGGAGAGTAAAGTAACAACATGAATGAGGGTGAGCTGCGAGAGGCAAAGATACCAGCGCTAAAACTGAAAAAAAAAATTGAATGCGAATCAACACAGGCAATCTTCTTTCATTTTGATTTTAATACTTGTCGAACAAATCGATTAAAATTGATAGCTCATTACAAAAAATCGATCATAATCGATAATCTCAAGAAAGGGAGCAATCAATTCCTATCAATGTTCGATATTAGTCAATTCATTAGTATCGATTACGATCAATTATGTTCGATTTTTATTAAGTGTCGAAAATGTCAATTTTGTTTTGTCCTGATTGCAGAACAGATTGCAGGGGCCAGGGTTCCATTCCCAGTGAGCCAGAATTTTTTTTCAGGCTCTCTTTTTGCAACTGCATGATCATGAGTGAGATACAGACTGTTAACTTGACATGCTAATACTTCTGTGCAAGAACTGTTGAAATTCAACTAAAGGGAAGATTTAAGTCATTTAACTCAAACAAATATAATAATGTTGAGCGTAAAACTTTTCATTGTTAGTGCTTAATTTTAAGTGAACCTTATTTTAAACAGGTTCGTATTCAAACTACGCCATTACCAAAACCTGGGGAAGAGCCTCTGTTTAGAGGAACTCTAGATTGCCTTCGAAAAACAGTGCATAATGAGGTTTGTATAAAGTATACATCTTACACTCTGACACCAATGTAATGGTGACACCAACACTTATACATTGACAGTAACTGAAAGACAGTAGGGTTTCATGAAAGTCCTGTGTCCCATATCCTCTGTTGGTGTGACTAACTTTTTTGTGTGTCCAAAATAGCTTGCTCAATAACACATCCAGCCCTATTGTCTTTGTAGTATGGCAGCATTCTTTAAGAAGCCAATAACATTTGAGAACAACTTGAATTATATGATTAACTTTTAAATGTCTTTATATTGATTTTGTCATGTCAAGTCTTTTTCTCTAGACCAAGACTGACTCGGACTGTATGAGGTTGTTCTTTCACACTTGGTGCCCAGGCAAACAGCCTGTCACTATACAGTACTTAATACTAATGTGTAAACACCTTTCTTTTAAGAATCCACACCAGAATTTGGGTGTGCTGCAGGTGTTCCTTGTGCACTCATTTCTGTCCTGAGGCAATCCACTCATTTTGTATACCCATATATATTAAGCTTCCTGCTTCTGTTACCTTTCAAAATCGGGTCCAACATGACAAAATGTAGCAAGTGTGTGCTACACAGTTGCGTATTGGGTACCCAAAGCATGAAAACAACATCATTTCACACCAGTGCTCAGACACCATGTGTGAGCACTGTATGGCTTTAATAGGTAAGTTGTTTGTGAAGATCAAAACACACAAGTCCAGACATGGATCTACATATGTGTAGAATAAATACTGACTGATTTCCTGAACGAGCACCTGATCATGAAGTGCAATCCTCTAGGGGGGTTTGGGGGCATGTTCCCCTGGGGAATTTTTTCAGACTTTAACTCCCCAAAGTCCCCTTTCCTGGGTTTATGACACCATTCAGACAAGATATTTACTGATTATCAAAACCATTTTCCAGATTTCAACTTGGAAAGTTTAGTTTTTTACTAAAAATATATTTATTTTGAAAAATCTGACCGATTTCTGTGAAATGGTGGAAACCGGTATGGATCCGCACCTGCAAGCCTGAGGAAGCATTTTGTATGTAAATATACATGTAGTTAGAGTATTTTTCTGTGTTCAGGGTGTATCCGGATTATTCAAGGGTCTTATAACTCCAGTTGCCTTCTCCACCCCTATCTGTGCTGTACAGTTCTGGGCAGTTACCATGGGTAGGAAGTGGCAAATGTCGGACCCTCATGAAATTCCCACGTGAGTGGTTTTGTGTACATTAATTACCATGCAACAATTATGGCAGTCTGATTTTATTAAGATTTTTGTGGGTGCATTTATGGAATCTATATTAGCGAGTGTCTCATTAGGATATAAAAAGGAAAGCTGTATCAAAAACAAGGTGGGCAAGTTTGTTATCCAACCTCAGTGTCAATATCCAGACACCAAGAAGCTAGTGGTTGTAAAATGTTAGCTACAGTCCATGTTCTTGATGTTGAGGTGTTTGGGTGTTGGATGGTGGATCAAAGAATCTGTATTGCACCAGACTCGTATTCAGTCGCTCCTGTGTATGCACTGTGATTAATGGGAAGGATTTAGTGAGATTGCGGTGCATCAAGGGAAGGAAGGAAGAAAAATGCGAAGCTTTTTCACCCTCTTTAACGGGCACTTTTGTGCCCATCAAATTGCCTTGCCATATTCCTTTGCGAGAATAAATAAGTGGCAATTGGGAACAAGTCTGGTATTCCACTGTATTGTTCAGAATATTTAATACCATGCATGAGCATTGAAGGTCATACAGAGGATAGAGAGCATACCTTACGAAATACATTTTAAGAGTTCCAGTATATCGTATATGTTTTGATAGTTCCCATTTTTAAGGCAGAAATATAAGGTCCCGAGCTTGATGTATATATGAGTAGTGACTGTTACATCTTTCTGAAAAACTAGAAATTTCCAGAACTTTACGGCTGGAATGTTCTCTGGGGCCTGTGGAGCAATTCTGATTGTTCCTTGTGATAGAATTAAATGTCTTCTACAGGTAAGATTTGACAATTAATACAGCAATGTAACTTAAATGTAAACCACCGGAACGTTCTTTTTGTAATCTCTCTTTCACTTTTTTTTTTTGTTAAGTGCCCGATCAGGTAGCATTTCTTCCAGTTCAAGGCTTTAAAACCGTTCATGTATATCTTACAGGTTAAAATTAATTTCAAAATTTTCAACTTTTAGCCTAGGTTGATTCTATGTTTCTATTCTATGTCTCTCCTAGCCCTAATGATTCATGAATTAGGGCTGAGACAAAGGAAATTGAAAATCAACCTAAGTTAAAAAATTTTAAAGTGAATTTAATTTTGACCTGTAACATATATACCAGGCTTCAGTTTTTCAAAAGGTTGCTGGAGAGTGATTTATCCAGTGGATAACGCGATCTAACATTTGAACAACCGAATTTCCTGTCTTGGGCATTAGTTATTTCACTTCTTCTTTGTCCATGAACCCACCTCCTTCAAAAATGAAGATTCTTGCGGGAGGTCTTTAAAAAAGTAAATAAAGAAAAAATAAAGACACTACGAATTAATAAATAAATATTAATTAATTAAAAAAGGCTTGCAGTCATAAAAAACGTTGTATTGTCGATAGGAGTATACAAGTTAGTTACGGCGATTTCCATTGGGCAAATAAAACTTTGGATTCCCTATTATCGCCACTTAAACAAGATAAAGAATTGTTGCCTAAAGAATTTTCATTTTACCCGTAATAATAAATCTCACAGCGAAGTTCGTTCTTAGACGAGTTTTCTGTTCCTGGATCAGACACTTTTCTTTTTGAAACAAATTAACAATTAAAGCAAGACAAAAGGGCACAAAACACTGGGCATACTTGGTTGCGGAGTAATCACAGCGAACAATGAACAATAGTAAGATTTGCTTGATCTGAAAAAGTCCAAACATTGACGACCAACAAAAAACAGAAGGAAAACTTTAGCACTAACAGAAAATATAAGGGTTATGATCATTAAACACTAACAGAAAAGAAGAAGAAAAACATTTGCGATCAACAGAGATCTAAGACAAACTTTGATATGCAGTCGACCGCATGCATTGGATTCTTAACGCCTGTAATACTAATAATATACTAGCAATAACCAGCGGTTAAGGAGTGCGGGCTACAACGATCGGAGGTCCAAATTCTTTCGCTCCAACGCACAAGTTTCACGTGACAGATGGTCAAAAAAGTGTGATTAAATTACGAGGGGTAAAAGGTTGAAACGCGCGTGATCAAATTGCGTTTTATACATTCCATTGATTCTTAGTGGAAGTCCAAACGAATGCTAGCCACATACGTGCGACGCATGCGTAATAGCAACCTGGAGATTAGGATTGCGAGCTCCTCTTGTCGCCCGCAATAAATGACGTCAAATGTTCAGTACTTAAGTGGGGCTACGAGCCGCAGGCGGGTTACTTCATTGCAAATTTTTGAACATTTCGAGGACATTAACTTTTCTATTGTTGAGACGAGTATTTAAGTTAGTCAGTTATAAGTTAGTGGTCGAGCGCTGGCTCGGACGACATGGCTTCTCCCTCGCCAGTCACTAGTTGCTAGAGTATAAATCATGAAAAATTGTTGTCTATTTGTTTTTTGCAAAAACATTGACAGTTTTTGACGTCCATTTCCGTTGAAGTTTCTCGGAAAATCGAGCGCCGAAGGCAGAGAAAAACAAATTGCGTCACCTTCACGTCATATCTTAACTCTCGACCAATCAGTGCTCGAGAAATCGTTCACCGAAGTTATGGTTGTTTTTCCTCTTCCTGATCATTTAATCTTTTCGTCTATAACTTTTAAGAATTCTTCGGAAGATCTCCATGAATCTGATAAAACGACAAGTTTTGCCTGTGCTCTGAACATGGCTATGAATGTATCGTAGTTGCGAAGAGACGTCAACAGCAATTCAGATGTGTGAAGTATAACCACCATAGGCCACTCTGTTCCGTCAATAAGGGTAGAATCAAATCTTGAATTTGACTGTAAAAGGCATACCTTGTCGCAAGACCATCTTGGATAATCTTCAGGAACTGCACCTTTTGCTGTCAGCTCATGGAATTGTACTCCCTGGTTTCGTAGCTCGTCGCCCAGGTTGTTCTCTGTTCCATATCTGGCGACGAAATTTACGACCATTATGTCTCCAGAGAAGAGCTGCAGATTCTTTGCTTTCATCGATGGTGGTCGTAATTTTGAAGTGGAACCTAGTGCTTTATTAACGACTTTTGCGCACTCTTTGTACATTAGCCTGACAAGTTCTTCCCTGTCTTGTGAAGTGGTGTCGCTACGTCTTTGTGGTTGGACTGCGATCCAGCTTATGTCTTGACCCTCCACGTTGTGGTTGAGCATTTTGTCTGTACCGTAAGGGAAATCTCGGTCGAAGTAGCGTGCACTATAATCCTGCAATAGTTTTACAATGTTGTTTGTGCTTCTAAGCAAGTGCTTGATCCGGCTCACAACTCCACCATTTCTTTGTAATGTCTCCAAGAGGGAAGGAGTGCTAAGGGTTCTGTACAGTGGGTTTTCTTTTCCTTGTAACTTTTGGGCTTTTAGCAGCCGTTCAATCTCTTCTCTGCTTTTTTCATCTTCAAAGAGCTGTTTCTTGTAGTCAAAGACAGAACTCATCCAGACGTAGCCGTTGACATTCTTCTCGAGTGCCTCCTTTACAATACGTAGCTCATCAATGACGCTGCTTGCGTCAGAGTCCTCTTGTATCTGGTATCGTTTCTTTGAACCAATCCATAGTTCGTCAATAAAAATATGATCATATTCCTGAACGATCCATAGGTCATCAATCAAGATATGATCGTATTCTTGCACTCCTCTTTGAGAGCATTGTCCTCTTCTCTGTGCCCTTTTCTCTTCAAGGGTTTCACCTTTGAGATCAATCGTCTTTACCTGAATATTTTTTGCCTTGTTTTGTTTAAAATACTGTCTCATAGCGTTTGGGAAGACAGTCTTTTCTTTTTCTGGCAATTGAATCAAATAGAGAATGCTTTGTTCTCCTTTGGTTTGCTGGCTGAGAAGCAAGGCTTTAGACCTCATTAATTCTGTTTTTCCACTCCCCGGTCCGCCGATTATGAGTTGTTTCTTTGGTCCTTCAAACACAGCAAGCTGTTCCACAGTAAAAATCGGCGCCCATTGTCTCTTGCCACGAAGTGGCTGGATTCTTATGTCTCCCTCAGAAAGGCTGCTGTATAATTCTACATCGAGGTTTGTGCAATGCTCGCCCAATAAAAACTTGCTTTGTTGTTTGGCTAAGCGCTTTGAAAGTTCATTCAGACAGTTAATTGTGTCCGTGTTATCCAGGTTGAGGTCCTTCAGAGTTGTGTCTGGTACTGTCAAGGTCGTTTCTTTCGATGCCTCATTGGCTCTGTTCATGTAGCTGACAATGCTGGCCATGTCCATAATGTACTTCACTGAGAGGTACTGGAAAACGTTTTCGTCCTCAACTGTTGGCTTGTCACCGCACAAGAACGTTTTATCAGAGAGACTCCTATTGAGATTCTTGTGAAGGTTTCCCTTTTCAGGAATGCCAAGACTCCCTAAAGCAGCAAAACATTGTTTTTTTAAGACTTTTTCACCAGAAAGCTCACTGTGAGATTCTGTAACTTGGAACATGTCTTGACACCACCGAAAGAGATGGGGATGTTCGGTTTCTCTAATCGTCCAGTAGTGTTCAGCCAGATTCTCTAGGTGCTTAAAGTTTTTTAAAGTGTGACTTGTGATAGCTGTGTACTCATTCTCGCTTATGGGACCCAAATGTCGTACCGCCAAGACTCGTGACAATGCGAGCTCATAGGCCTTGTTGTTGTCCACTGTGGTAGCCACTGACTCATCTGTCTCGATTTTGTCATTCCACCAGCACCAGAAGCTTTCAAGACTCTTCAGGTCTTCCTGGTATATGAACAAAGTGTCATCTGGACATTCATGTACAGTACCTTTCTTGGTCGAGGGCAGTGCTATAACCATGCGGACTGGAAATGGGTCTATGTCATTCTTCTGTTCACTGTCAGAAAAAGATCTAGCAAAAGCCACCACTGTTTCTTTGCATCGTTTCAGCTGGTTTTCCCTAGCGTCTTTGATCTCCTTATCCAGATTAGAACATTTTTGAGCACCTTCTTCAGTTGTTTCCCTTATACTTTTCACCTCAACCAGAATAACTCCCTTTTTATGGTGAAAAACAATAAAATCACTTTGCCCTGCTGATTTGGGCGGCTTTGGTACTTGGTCTTCGGGCCTTCCGCCTTTACATCCCTCGTTCCATTTTTTGATATGTTCGAGCTTGAAGTCATGAATAACGAACATTCCTAGCTTATTCGCTTGGCCAATTTGTTGCAGACGATTGTAGACTAGATCCTCACCTCTTATTCCAATGATGTTGACTTCATCTTGGTGACGATATTGGCCTCCTCTGGAAACAGTCAGGCCCAGTTGGCAAGGAGTGAAGACAGGGGGAATCATTACAGTCTCATTGTTGTACTTCCAACTCGGAAACTGCCAGTTTAAGAACTTTTCTGGGCTTGAAAGCTCCTTTAACGTTTTTGGCTCACCTCCAAATTCTTTAATAGTTAAGTTCTCCAGTGTTTCTGCAACAAGCTCTTCAACTGGGTCTGGGTTGGTTGCTGATGCCATTGTTAAACGCACTCTTTATTCCGTTCTGAATATTCTTGAAAGACAAACCATTAAAATCAAATTAGACAGGTGAAGCAACCAAAACATTCCATGTAATCCCCTGACCAATAACACTCGCACACATAATCGCGTTCACCGATCAGATTTGGAATAAAACTGCCTATACACGACTCCAGGCGCCTTGAAAGCGGGCCTGAGTCAGGATTACATTTGTTCTTAATATTTTTTCTAGTGTTGTGAATTGAGGGCTGCAAATTAAAGATGAAAACAACGGTACTGCATTCTATTTTGGGAGCTCTCTGACCGTGGATAATCTTTTGTTTTGGGTTCACAAACTGCAGGGAAATTGAGAGTGTAGAGTTTTGACAAAAATGTATAATATCACATTACCGTATTTTCTATTTTCGCTTCAACGGAAGACTTTTTTAAGGAAACCTTTGTAAGTGGTAATGAGGCTTTATGATGATTTCTACAATAGACAATTGCTCAAGCGCATAAATTAGAAAGACTTTTGTTTAAATTCACCCCAAGGGTAGTGTGCATGGGAGCACGTCTCTTGTGGTTTGCATGTAATAAAAATGTCATTGCATTGCTTTATTTCAGGACATTGAATTAATCAACCGTCAACTCTTAAGTGTGTCATTACAGAAATAAAATTTAGAAAAGTGGTCAAAACGAAAAAGAAATAATCAATAAATTCCCCAACTTAAACATGTGTAGTCCGCCCGTTTGCCATATACTGCGAACCAGAAGTTATTATAGCCTTGTTGATATAAATGCTAATGAGATGATTCTGAATTCGTCGACGAGTTGTTTATGTATGTGATGTCTAAACTGAGAAAGTACGTTCGACGAAATCAGCTCTTTCAGCAAATTATTTGACTTGGAAGTTTCAAAATGTACGAATATGATTTCGACTTCCGCTTGTATCAGGCACTGCCGTAATTGGATCACTGTAAAGTTCACCACTTTTCAGCTAACAAGCACAAGACAAACGTCCAAAGGAGAGACTGAAAGTTAGCTACATTCGACGTATAGTTGATATTGGAGATGTTAAGCATCACGTTTACGTCGAACGGCAAACGCGAATTTGTACCGTGTGACCAAGTTTCCCCTATACTTATCGTTTACTGTTCATTATTTCAACCTGTAAATAAGAATTGTTTTGAGCTGTTTTTATCGGCTCATTTTCTATTTTGAGAAATTCTCAACTTGAATCTGACGTTTGCCGTTTGCCGTATACGGGATACTTAAACTCTATATTGTAGCTATTTAGAAACCCCCATTTATACGCAATGACGCTGGGCGAAACGGCTCTCTGAATCAGAGGTTAACTCACTAGTCCTGGTTTAAAATCTTATAAATGCGTTCTGAATGTTACAAGAACCATCGTTTCAAGATGGAACCCGACTTACCGTTCGAAGTAGATTGTGAAAGAGCAACAGATCTCAAGATATATTTTCCGCGTTCAATACCCTGCCTAGTTAGTCTGCTTCACAGCCGTTCCTTTCCCTTTGTGTTTGTGGTCTAACGAACAAACCAGTCATGTATAAGAAACTTGATAATACGTGAGCCGCAGGGCGCTAGGAGCGAACACGCTTCTCAGTTTTCGACAAATCAATCAATCGTTGCTGACCCGGAATTTTGATGAGCTCTGTGTCTGCAAGCAACGAAAAGATTGTCTTAAGCGGTTAAAAAAATTCCAAGTGAAAAACAAAAAGGTTTGATAGGCCTACAAGACTCTTACCAGGATCGGTTGGTTCTTTTTAACCTGCATATGTATGACGAATTTCATGTGCCAGATGTGCTCATTGTGTGGTTGGACATGTGAAGACTCTGAACATTAAACAGGAGTACCCAACGAACATTTTTCGCAAAATTGATTATACGATGTCGTAAACGCTAGCAAAGTGCTTTTACGTCAACCTATGTTAATATTTAACTTTCCTGGGAAAAAAATACCCGCTCTTCACTGCTAGCCAGCAAGACTTTCAGAAAATAAAAATCCCAGCCAGCAATCATGTTTGACGGTTTTTTGCCAGCCAGCAAGGTTAAAAAAACAAAAATTACGCAATCCCAGCCAGAGTGAAACGGAATTCGGTGTTTGCCAGCCAGCGGTAGCAGAAGTAAGTTATGAGCCAGCCAGCAAAGTTTCATTTAACACATTGCCAAGAAAAACATGTAAGTCAGTAGGCAAGATCTGTTTTACGTCAAATTTACATAATATAAAAGAAAAGCGTGTTTAACCTGTTTCACCCTTTTATCTAGTTGTCGTTTTTTTTTTTTTTTGAGATATAGGGAAAAGATCATCCCTAAGTATTACATAACAATAACATAACAACTAAAGACATTCAGCTGTACTTACAGTTTTGCCAGGTAAACGATAAAAAGGAAGATCCCGAACTTTTTCCATAACACAATAAAACGTAAAAAAAGTGATCACCGAAAAGCCTTAAGACCAATGCATATTTTCCAGCGGTAATCGACTGAGGCGAAAAAAAGTTTAAGAATAAACAACATAACGAGTAAGCTCGATCTACGTGTGGTCTCCTCTGCAAAATCACTCCAAATTCAGTGTAGACACATGCTTACCGCCAGCATTGTATGCCGTGCCTACTGTTACTGCGCAAAAGTTTTTACACCAGAACTGATAGAAAGTTTCGAGTAAACAGGCTTTCCGTCGGAAAATTCTAACCGCTACGGCTGAAAACCACGAACCCAAAAAGTAAAGTAACGTTTGCGGTCTTTAACTCGAGTTTCAACGTGGGGAGGATGGTTTCCTCTTTCTTCATTTACGTAAACGCCTGACAGTAAACAAGGACCTTTCTGTTGCGGTATAAAAAAACAGTACTGTCCATGTTTTCAAATATGCTATGGCAACAGTTTACTTTTTAAAGCCAGACTGATAACGTGTTCTTGTAGTAACTTTCTCCTCACAAGTACTTGAAGAGCTTGTCATCCTGAGTTTGATCTTACTCACTCATTTTTTCTCTAGCCAAAAAGCCATAATGGTATGTCGTCAGACAATCACCACAAAAGTTTCGCAGCAAAAGCCAGTAGTCGTAGGTTGTCAGTCAGGCAATCACCGTAAAAGTTTCACACCAGAACTGGTGCAAAGTTTCGCAGCAAAAGCCAGTAGTCGTAAGTAGTCAGTCAGGCAATCACCGTAAAAGTTTCACACCAGAACTGGTGCAAAGTTTCGCAGCAAAAGCCAGTAGTCGTAGGTGGTCAGTCAGGCAATCACCGTAAAAGTTTCACACCAGAACTGGTGCAAAGTTTCGCAGCAAAAGCCAGTAGTCGTAGGTGGTCAGTCAGGCAATCACCGTAAAAGTTTCACACCAGAACTGGTGCAAAGTTTCGCAGCAAAAGCCAGTAGTCGTAGGTAGTCAGTCGGGCAATCACCGTAAAAGTTTCACACCAGAACTGGTGCAAAGTTTCGCAGCAAAAACCAGTAGTCGTAGGTAGTCAGTCGGGCAATCACCGTAAAAGTTTCACACCAGAACTGGGGCAAAGTTTCGCAGCAAAAGCCAATAGTCGTATGTAAGTCAAGAATGTTTCGTTTTGCAGTCAGACAATCACCTATAAAGGCATGTAACCTTATGTCGTGCATGCGATGGTCGTGTGATGTCTATAAGTTATAGAATCGAAGTGCAGTTGAAACAAATGTAAGTAAGATCACTCCAAGGAAGGCAAGCTTTTTTTGCTTTGGGTACAGAGACACGCACCAAAGTAAAATACATGCCACAATACCTTTATCAATTTGGTTGAAGCACCGTCATAGTAAATTTGCGAACAACAACAGTACTTGAGTTTTAATACAGCTACAGAAAAATTCCTGTAGTTTTTGGCAATAAGTTAAGCTTAGGTGAAACCTTCTTCGGTACGTTTAAAAATCGAGTTGAAGACGGCAAACGTGACGTAACTGCGTCCTACTGCGTATCTCGCGCTTCGCGCTCGCGCCTCTTTTGCGCAGGCTACGGTTGAGTTGTAAGGGCGATTATTTTGTAGAAAGCAATAACTTCATGATAACCAGAAGAAAATAAAAATTCCAAAGAAAAATATCCTGTTCTTCACGACAAATGGTTACAAAAAGAACAACATAGTTGTCTATTAATTTGTTTATTCAATAGTCCAGTTTAAACCCTGCTTGCAGCAATTTTAGGAAAATGTGTAAAATACTGCTCACATTTGTAATTTTCTTTCATTTTTTGGCAAGAAAATTGTGAACTATTTTTCATTCTTTTTTTCTACATTGGCCAAAGAGCCTCTCAAACGTAACCATGGCCGGTAACGCCCGCTTTCAAATTTGAGGTCCTACAGCCGGGAAACATCACCAAAAAAGTGTAATCTGAGTCACTGTGTTCGAAGATATGAATAAATTTACTAACAGAGCTGTTACAATTTATACGATAAAAAGCTTTAAGAGCAAGAAATGCCTCAGCGTCAAAACAGATACTAGTATGAAAGTCAAAGAATGATAGCCGTTCGGGATTTACCCCGCTATACTACAATTTACTACACAGACGTTAGCATTGAAATGCAACGGCACACTTGGATGTTGCCTTTTTTAAAACCAACAGTTACTATAACGGACGCGAAATACGTCAATATACGGGTAGTACAAACGTAAAATCTTCCTACCTTTTCCGATCCTAACAGATACCTGTGCAGTTGCTAAACGCCTTCCAAATGACCATAGATCGAGGAGGTTTCCCGTCCCGGTGAGCACATAACAAAAGAGAAATTGGTTCCAACGGAAATATTCCAGAGCGCGCAAACCTGGACAACATTGCAAACGAGCATACCGAATGAAATCAGTTTTGAGTTCACTCCGCTAAGAGACCAGAGTGTATTATTTATTGGAGAGAGTTTTTGTATTCAATCGTCTCAATATTTGATGGCATTTATGTGCATTAGCGAATGTTCTTAATTCGATACACATACACGGCAACCTGAAATGCAGCATTGATCATAGACCACTAGTTGGATTTTACTAAAAATGGATACCCGCAAAATACTGCTAGGGGGTAACCCTCCGATGGACTAGCATCCCATCTAGGGGGGAACAGGGAATGGCAAGATTCCTATAGTCATCCTTCATGGTAAGGAAAGAAACACAACCATTTTGCTTACCTTTTGGCCGCCTTAACATCAGGTTTAAAGTAGAACGTAGGAAAGTAGCTGATATGTAGACAGGCATACACACAAAAGTGTTTTCTATAAAGGATCGACAGCGAAACGACTAAAAACAAAGCGGTGAGCGGTGCTTGACTCAACCTTGTCATTTTCTCACTACGTGTATCTTTTACAAGGTATTCACAGCAGGACGTTTTGCTTACACACCCAAACAAATTTCCGTTTTCACAGGCAAAAGGTGTCATTTCCACAGCTCGCTTGGAGTGATTTTCACGCGCAGTTACTTGCTTCGCCCGGCTAATATCCATGTAAATTACAGTGCGATTGCCAGGAGAAAAAATATACCTTTTTATCCAGCCAGAACCGGCATAAATTTTTCATATTTTCAGCTAGCGAGGCGCTCATTCAGATTTCCCAGCCAGCTAATTAGCCAATGTTTTTTTTTTCCAGCTAGCTCAAATTCTGCCTGTAGAGCGGGTATTTTGTCGAGCGGCTCTGTCGGGTACTCCTGATTAAACTCTCAAGGGTACTGATTCAAACAAAAGCAATCTTATAAATTATCGACAAGCGATTTACCGAAACTATACCCGGCAACTTTATAAGCACAGACTTTCTTGCTGTTGCTGCTTATCTCAAAAATTTTGAAAGGACTCGACAAGACTGCTTGTTTTCACGCGACGATTTTGATTGTTCTGTCATTCGCACATGGGGCACCGATAAAAGCAAAGCTGTGATTGGAGGAGTCACCATACAGCAACAGTGGCGCGAACACCTTCCAGGAAATAAGAGCTGAATTATAATTGGCTAATCGCGAGAAAGGAATTTTGTTCGATTTTTAGCAGCCGTTAGTGGGGAGGAGCGTTGCGTGACGACACTGATAACGGCTGTGTAGCAGACTATACCCCTGCCTTGACTTGAAAGAATGTTAAGTTTCCCAAAAAGCACGTGTACACGACAATACAAGGAGACTGTCTCTTGGTAGCTCGGATGAATGGCTAGGCTACCAGGTAAAGAGATGAGGCTTTGATCTGCGTTTTAGGAAAGCATAGTTCCCGTAACAGCTGATACTACATACAATCGTGCAATCGGTCCTTTGATAGAAAATTATTTTGTTAATATTTATACTTTACAGATGGCAGCAAGTAATTTTTATTCCTCCCTTGTTATACCTAGAACACTAGCCTGCAAAGCAAGCGTTTCCGCGAGTTCTGAGGCAAAGTTGTGATGAGAGCAAAAAAAAAAAAGTTCGCGCCAGAATTCAACTACAAAACCTTGCTTCGTGGGCTACAAGCAGACTTATACTATACCCTGACTGAGTTTTATGCCGACTTTGAAATAAATTTGTCATGGTGTGTACACGTTGTATTCATTCCGATGGCGAAAAAAGAATACCAGAATAATAAAGTTCATTCTACATTTAATGCATGTGTTATATATAGTGGATTTTCCGTAAAGACCAACCTGATTTTTTTTAAAAAAAGGTGGAAGGTATGCCTACAAAAATACTGGCTCGGGATGGGATAGAACGGGATAGGACGAACACTTGCGGAAGCACTTGATACGCAGGCCAGCTAACAATTTTTTTAATAAAATGTATATAAAGAATGAATGAAGTGAACTAAAATATCGATGAGGACATTTAAGAGGTTGATTTAAACTGAACTCCGGGCGATCCAGAGACCTAGTCTCAGTCTCATACATGGTGCGCGAAAGCTGTTCAGGGTGCCAGGTGCTAGCAGGGACTATCGGGGGCGTACCTACCTGTACGCACGGTAAGCACATGCGTACCTGAAAAAGGTCGGGGGTAAAAAAATAAATTAAATAACATAAAAAGCAGAATAATTTAAAAAAAGTAAGTCTAAACGTTAAAAACAAAAAAATGCAATTCCGTTTAATTTTGCCTCAATTCTTTTTAACAACTGTTTGATTCTTTGGAGTATTGTTTTCGATAACAACGGACTGTTTGTTTTTTTTCATTTGAATCTTGAATAATATACATAAGAATGTCGGTTTTCAAAACTACGGAACTTCTTTTCTCCTACACGATCACGTTAAAGTGGCAAAAACAATGTGGTAAAAAAGGTTTAAAAAATAAATGAAAAGTCTGAGATCCTACCTTGCTTGTTGGCTTAATTTATAATAAGCGATTGATTGCTTTAGTCAATGAACTGCTCAAAAAGGCGACAAAAACTCATACAAAAGTACGTAAGGCTTAAGCTTACTATAGGCTTTTGTTCATTATGCCCTTGTTTCTCCACTAAAATGCACCACCATGATGCTCCGTTGTTTCCACTAAACTACTCTGTCTTCCCCCCAAAAAGTCACCTTGAATGCTCGATAATGTTCATCACAGAGAGGTTTTTTTGAAAATTAATTTTAACGCTAGTAACAAAAACGCATAAATGGTACAGCAAAAAAAAAATCGTATAAACGGCTGTATTAGGATAGCATTTATTTATTTTTAATTTTGACTTTAACTCAGTCTTCTCTTTCTCTGAAAAATAAAATTAATCTTTATTTTCTCTTAAAAAAAGTTACACTTTTCCGGGCAAATGCCGCAAAAATGTTCGACTGATGCTTTATGCTTTCGCCTTACTAAAATGTCACCTAAAGATGCTATATAGAATAATGTACAAAAGCCAAGCTTACAAACCTTTAATTTGAGGTTGGAGGGAAGAAGATTTGAAAAATTGTGCTTACCTCTGGAAAAATCTGGCTTCACCCCCTGACTATGGTGTTTCTATTTGTTAAGACACTAATTAAAATAGTCTGAAAACTTTTACTCAACTGATCGATGACTAATTTCTTACTAGTCAATCACGCAAGTGGATGATACAAGCAAAAACGACTACAGTCAACTCTCTCTAAGACGGACACCTTTGGGACCGGCATTAAGTGTCCGTCTTAGAGAGGGTCAAATAAAAGGAGTAAAGAAAGGCAGGGACCAACTCTAGGTGTCCGTTTTACAGAGGTGTCCGTCTTATAGAGGTGTCCGTTAAGAGAGAGTCGACTGTATCACTGTACAAGCCACGTCCTTTAAAATTTGCAGGTTCAACAAAATTCCAGAGGAGAGCGACCATACAAAGGTCCCCTGAATTGTGCGAAACAGCTGTACAAAGAGAGAGGTATAGCGTCATTATACAAAGGAACATGTGCAACGCTACTCAGAGGTTAGTAGACACATAGCGAAGTGAAGCATTTACAAAGGGTAAAACATTGACAGTCAAATGACGTGCAACTTTCTCTCTTATTATATCGCGGAATCCATGAGTGGTCAAGATGAAGCGAAGCCTGCATTCTGATTGGCTACATGAGCGGGGAGGATGGGCCTATGCCCTCTCGGGATTTCCCGCGTTGATCCCGCTAGAATATGTTTTCCTTTTGGCCATATAATAAAACGTTTGTTGACCAAGCTTTTTCTGTCAAAATGGCTGGATATTGGCCTCGTTCTTTTTTTGCCTTTTTTAGTTAATTGAACAAATTTTGTGAATGTCTGTTGCAGATATTCCTGGAATGGGTTGCTATTTCTTCAGCTATGAATGGATTCTTAGCAAAATCACCTTAGAGGGAGAAAGGTATACGCAATATACTGAAGTAATTAGCCCACATCCCCTGGAAATTTTATCGTAAACGCCTTTTGAAGCCGGTCGAACCGTCCCCTAGTCTCTATCTGGCCAGAAAGAACCAAATCTGCCCTGCAATGTAACACTTGAGGGTACTACCGATGTATGGGTCGGGTAAATCACCTATAACCTGAGACCGTGTACGTTGTTATTGATGAACAAAACATCATCGTTGCCCGCCGTTGTCGTGGTATCAAGGAACTTAAGCACAGGCGTTTCTGAGCGGCACATGTCAACCTGAAGTGAAGCCCTGTCTCCTTCAATATGCCTTGACTCTACCATGTTTGCAATGCAAAGTGTTTTTACTCTAATAAAGACGATTTGCCGGAAAAAATTGGGCGAAACCACTGCCTAAGAATTCAAAATGTCCACTTATGGTTGATGTGCCTCGCTCAAAAACCTCCCCGCTTAAGCTCCCTGTTCACATGAAGTCCCCATTGAGATTCTCGCGAAATAAACTCAAATCAGTTATTGTGGCCAAACAATAAGTATATCTTGATTGATCATCTTCCCTGACTTGCACCCATGCCGAAAAACGATGGAATGCATCTTTGAATATCATCGAGATATTAGTTTCTGTCTCTTTTTTTCTTTCTAGCCGTGAAAATTTAAACCCGCTTAGGTATATCCTTGCCGGAGGTATGTTGTGTTTGTTCACTTATGTAAAGATAATCCATAAAAAAGAAGAAGGAGAATCAGTCGCAACCCTAAGAATGGGAATGGTCCTAAATATCAAAAAAGTTTGCAAACGCTTGCTTTGAAGTTGTTAAAGGATTGCTAATCATTGGCAGCACTCAAAACAAAAATACAGAGTTTCTTTTGACACGTAGGAACCGTATTTGGTAAACACCACCAATTGCCCAGAGAAAGGGAATAATATTTTCCCCCTGAACGGTCAGATATAAAAGGGTTTTTGATACTCACTTTTTATGCTCATGCCTTAATTATATCTATACTACTGATTAACTTTAGCTTTATAGGATTTATTTCCTCTTTTTGGGTATTGCAGTGGGCTAGAACTCAACTCAAAAGCCTTGCTCCTTCGGCTCCCGAACCCAAGAAGTTTGAACACTGCCTGTTAGGTAGACTTGCCTACAAATTTAGCTCAAATTTTTTTTCACGAGCGCGAAGCGCGATCGAGTGGTAGATTTTTTATCTTTTCTGCGGCAAAAGTGAGCGAGAGAGTAGACTTGCCTACAAGTCGAGCTCATATTTTTTCACGGGCGCGAGGAGCGAGCGGTAGATTTTTATCCAACTACCAGAACCGGAAATGAGAAGCGAAGGACTTTAAGAAAGTCTAGCGAGAGAGCGGGAGCTGCGGGAGCTGCGGGAGCTCAACTTGTTCTCCCCCAGAAAAAAATCGCATCAAGTGACGTCATTTTGGCGCGAACTTTTTGCGTCCCTGACGCGTGTGTCAAAGTTTGTCAAAACAAGTCGGTAATGTTTTTCCGACTCATGGCTGCCAGGTAAAACTGGCCTTGGTAAATACTCAAATGGAGTAATAAAACGCCCACTAAATCTTTTGTGCGCGTTGCAGTTCCCGATAATGTTTGCCTACAAAATGCACAGCTCAATTTATAAATAGTTAAATAGTTAAAGTCACGTTTCATCTGGCGTGATCGGGTTTAATTGACTGCGCATTAGTAAAACCGTTCTTGATTGGGTAAAACTCACAGAAGGAAAATTCCTTCTGTAAATTTGGCACGCTGCAGGGGTAAAAGTCCTTGGCGCTGTGGCCAACTATCGGAACCGGAAATGAGAAGCGAAGGACCTGTTAGGCTGATATTTTAAACAGCGTTACCCCAGAAATTCAAAATCTTATCCTGGTTTTTTTATGGCATAGCGAAAATAGTTGTGTTGCCTTTTCCCCACCTCGGGTTAATTTCATTGATGTGTTTGCGTGTGTTTTTACCTTGTAAGGTACGACAGGCATGATCTGCTGGTTCTCCATTCTTCCCGCCGATGTGTTGAAATCGCGTGTACAAATAGGTAACTCATGAAACACAGATACGTAATCGCGTGCGTTCACTTGTCGAACGTTTCGCCCGAAGTTTTGTTAGCATTGCACGTCCGCAAGTGTTTTTATTTGAGCATTCTTCCTCCGTTCACCTGCTATTTCTTGCATATGTGCCTACGTTGTTCTGTGCTCATTTGGAGGACAGGCAAGTACTAAGTGAGTCAACCGGACTCTCTAATTTTCCCATATTAGCACTTCAGTCTAGGGAAGCTGTTTCTTTGCTCTTCCATTGACGGAAAGAAGTTTCAACAACATTACGGCATATGGTGCGTTTATCTTCAAATTGAATTCTGGATATTGAATAAGTAATGGCAAGATCTTACGCCATATCGTTAAAATTTCGTCCTGGTTATAACAGGGTAGTAATTATGAACCGACCCTGGCTCCAATTGTAGATATGTTCAGTGAAACGTTTTAAAATTCCTTTTTTGTAACCAGCCTCGTTATTCTCTTTCCTCAATACTCATCTTTTCTCGTTGTTCTTTGCCCTTTGTTAAACTTAACAGTTTTTCTGCCTTTGCGAGTCTAGTCGTTTGTCAAAAGGTGTAACAATTGTCCCTTGCACAAACTCTTTAGATACTCCCTGTTTGTAACCAGCCTCGTTTTGCTTTCCTCAATACTTATCTTTTTTCGTTGTTCTTTGCCCTTTGTTAAACTTAACAGTTTTTCTGCCTTTGCAAGTCTAGTCTTTTATCAAAAGGTGTAACAATTGTCCCTTGCACAAACTCTTTAAAGACTCCCTGTTTGCAGAGAATGTTATAGACTTATATTTATTCTTCCTCCGTAGTTGATTTTCTTCCTCGACCATTCTCTTTTAGCTCCCGAAGGAAAGTATCCTAGAGGAGTAAGAGATGCATTTATAGAACTAGTAAGTTCGCTGTTTACAGGCCGTGGCTGATTTGTTGATCACTTGAGAACATTTAAAACATGTTGACGTCTCTCTTATAAACTATGGTAGTGTAGTCAATGTAGAAAATTGTGGTCAATTTGTTGCTTGTTTGTTCTTTGTCTGGAACCACAACGACGGTATCGTGAAAAAAGAAAACAATTGGTTTTAAGAGCAAAGCAACAGCTCTGCACGTGCAACATCCTTTGATTCACACTTCTCAGACTCATTAATAATTCATTAAGAAAATACAAAGGAAAAAAAAATGTTTAATGAGTGTTTGGAAATCAGATGAAAAACTGCTCATTTTTGCCTCCTTAATTTCTCTTTCTAAAATCATTTTGTTTGAGAAGTAATATCAAGCATTCGAGACTATTTCATCACTAGATGAAACTCCTCGAAGTTGGTCAAAAATACTCCGCTGCGCGTCGTATTTTCAACTCTCTTCTCGGTGTTTAATCTGGTGATGCATCTCATGCTTGATATATTACCTCTTTGACGTCCAGTGTGCGACAGGACGTGAAACTTGAAATGGAGGACGTGAAAACACGACTACGAATTCTCCTTTATCTTTTGAACCTGCATACAGTCGGATTCGACAAAATAAGCGGGTATTGATAGACACGATAAAGTTTGAAAGAAGGCATATTCACTTTTAGTGACGTTTTCGCTGCCGTCGTCGTCGTTGCTTAAGCTCCCTTGTAAACCTGAGCACATGGGAGGAACAGCGCACCATTGCTTTATTACTGCAAATACTCTTATAGAAAATGGCTCTCCACTAAGGAGTACTTTTGAATTTGTCCAAGTGTTGAAGAACACCTAATTTGACACATAATGCGTTGCGGGTAAAATCTGTATTTTGGGCTAACTTGGTTATTTAATCATTTTCTAGGTTAGAAATGAAAGCTTCGCAAGTCTATATAAGGGACTAACTCCGGTGTTGATGCGTGCTTTTGCAGTCAACGGGGTAAGTGAAGAGAGGAAATGCAGAGTGGTGCGAAAAGCTAATAGGAAGAAAAGAAGGACTGTTCCATCTTCCTCTTCACGCCAACGCCACTTTCTGACCTCTTTGAGGCTTGAAATCCCCCATGTTTGAACTGCGAGAACTACTAGCACCGGCTTACGGTCTCAGAGAAAGAAGGAAAAAGAAACACTGTCCTGAATGAATCTGATTTTATTTGGCGTGGTTTTGACTTGGACGTCAAGACGTCCATGGTGAACCGTCATAGCCTCTTACGCAGACACCCCATGGTGAACCGTCATAGCCTCTTACGCAGACACCCCCAGTGGATAAGTATTTGGGAAACCAATTTGCCACTTTAAGAACGAGAAGGAAGCTGAGTTAACTTTCGCAAAGACTTCTGGGACTGTTACTAAGGACAGGGAAAATATGTATAATAGCTGACCGGCGTGTTCCCAGTAATGATCCCACAAACACTTGCGGTACGCATTTCGGCTCCAGTTCCCTTCTCGTTAAAAAGTGGCGAATTACGTTATCCACGTTTTCGACATCTCGGGTCTGGGAGATTAATTTGGAAGGAGAAATCAATCACTAGAAAACTCAGAAAAAATCCCCCCCCCCCTCCCCTTAGGTGAGAATAGAATTCATGACCCTTCGAGTTCTAGATCAGATGCTCTAACCACTGACCCAAAACCTCCGTATTAAACATTAGCATTTGACTTGTAAGACTGATCCTAAATGGGATTTCTGTGGACCAATTGTGATTTAAAACTCGCCAGCGATTCACTAATATAAGACTAACGAAGGGATTGTTCAAAAAAATGCGTCTTTCCTCGTGTTTTTAAGTAAAACTGATCTCAGCTTCTTGGTAATCCTAGTGATTTCTATTTTTAGGGTGTTTTCTTTGGTTATGAAGTGGCCTTGAAGTTATTTAACTGGATTGCACCAGAATAAGGATTTTTTCCAGTGTCATTAAAATAATGAAAGCCTTCTATCCTGTGGAACGACGGAGAATGCGACGAACATTGTGTGTGTTAAATTACTGTGCTTTTTAAAAACACGCGAGCTCTGAAGTTCAAAAGCCAACTCAAGTTTGCGTTTTTCGCTGCCGTCAATCATCTTAGCGGACCTCTTAGGACACAGAACTTTACTTAAACAAGTTCAAAAGGTCATTGTTTGTGATCTGTGGTTGGTGAATTGGAATCCGTTTTGTGTGTTTGTGTGTTTCAAGGTTCGTTGCTTGTGATCGTAGTTATGATTGACGGCAGCGAAAAACGCATTTGTGAAGGCTTTAGAACTTTAGAGTTGGCGTGTTTGTGAAAAGCGCGGTAAAAACGGTCGTTTTATTTTGGAAATTCATGTTTATGAAACAAAAATGCGATAATGAGAGAGTCAGTTGTAAGCTTTTTTAGCCTACAATGCGAGGAGCAGCCTTTGTTGCCAAAGATGGCGTCTCTCGGGACGTGAAGTCCACGGAGAAATTGATGATAATGAAAAAATAGTCAATGATAATGGATAAAGAGTGAAAATAAAGTGGCAATATTTATACAAAAAGAAACAAACTAACGTGGCTACTCTTCAGCATAGGTGGGTTATTTGGTATCAAATGCGCCAAACCTTTGTATCGTGGTCGTGGGGGTGCCTTTCAGAGCTGTGAATAATTTGAACCATTTTACCTTTTTTTCAACATGACAAAGAAAACAAAGCCATTTCTCTGCCCTAACGGCAAATAGTTTGTCGATCCTGTGAGGGTGATAAAAGACGAAATGATAGAAAACATTGAGAAGTGTCGTCAAGCTGTTGGCGTTGTCTTTTCAGTTGTTGATTTGAAACTGAGGTGAAGGAACCGACACTGCTGATCGTAAAGAATAGGGGTCACTCTCCCCGGGAGCTGAGGACTACCCCTGACTCTGTTAATATGTGGTGACAGTAAATGAGGTCAGTAATTGAGTGATTCCGTCAGCCAGTGTACTCACGATGGTGCCGTCCGATGGCTTTGCTGTTCCTTCGCCGTCACCTCGTCTAGAAAGCAAGTCGTCATTTAGCTCATCCAGTGAGCGATTCTCGCACCTAACACCGACGCCGGCACCAATTTTTTTAACGCTTTTTCTATCAAGATAAGAATATGGTCTTTGCACGCACTTTGAGTCTCCAACTTCACTTGTTTAAAAGCTCTCTTGTTTCCCTTTCCTAGGATCCAAAAATTGATAGTGTCTTTTTGCAGCGCCTGAAAAACTGTCTGTGAAGATGTCTTTCTTGTTATGAAAAAAATTGTTTCTTTACATTCAAGTATGACTGGCGTAGATACTCTAGTACCATAAAGAAGTTTCAGGTTATCCATCAAAGCCTGAGCACGGCCTTGCTCGGCGACCTCTAAGGCTTCGTCCGTATTTTGTAGCTTTATCAACACCCGCCACAGCGAAGTATAAGCATTTCGATACTGATCCCGAAAAAACATTTTGCACCTGTTTTCGGAAACTGAATTTTTCCTAACGGTATCATAGTTACTTACGCTAGATCGAAAATAATTGAGAGCCTCGTTTAAAGAACCCAGGGACTCGAAATCAAGACCTAAATAAAAACACGACTTTGCTTCTCCCGGTTTGTCACCCACTTCCTTTGCAATACTTAAATCTTGTTTGTGGTCGACTATGGCTCGTTCAAAGTCACGAAGCGATTGATAACTATTGCCGAGATTTCCATAGGCATGTCCTTCTCCGACCTTATGTGATATACTATGGCTGTTTCGTATTCACCAAGTGAGTGGTAAGCGACACCTAGATTGCCATAAGCGCCCCCTTCTCCTGCCTTATTCTTTAATTCTCTGCAGATGCTGAGATCTTCCTTATGGCAACGTATGGCACTTTGGAAGTCCCCAAGAGAGTGGTAAGCGCTGCCGAGATTACCATACGCACATCCTTCACCTATTCTGTCATTCACCTCCTTAGAAATGCAGAGTTGCTTCTTGTGGTATTCTAGACCCTTCCGAAAGCTGCCAAGCCACTGATAAGCGTTTCCTAAGTTGCCGTAGGCACTTCCTTCTCCGTCTTTGTTACCTACCTCTTTGCAGATTCTCAGCTCTTCCTCATGATACTCAATGGCTCGTTGTATGTCACCAAGTGATCGATAAGCCCTCCCGAGATTGCAACAGGCAGAGGCTTCACCGATTTTGTCGCCTAATTCCTTGGCAATGATGAGGTGGTTCTTGTGGTGTTCTATGGCTCGTTGAAATTCACCTAGTGAACTGTAAGTGACGCCGACATTGTTATGAGCACGCCCCTCCCCTTGCCGGTCACCCACTTCCTTAGCAATAGCGAGATGTTTTTCAAGGTGATCTATGGATCTGTGGAAGTCTCCAAGTGAGTCAAATGTGTTACCGAGATTGCCATAGGCCCGACCTTCTCCGGCTCTGTCACCCAGTTTCTTGGAAATACTCAGGTACTGCTCGTGGCACTCTATCGCACGTTTAAAGTCACCAAGTGATCGATAAGCAGTGCCTAAATTGCAATAGGCACAACCTTCTGCGATCCGGTCTTTCGTCTTTTTAGCAATGGTGAGAGCCCTTGTGTGACACTCTGTTGCTCGTTGGAAATCAAGAAGTGATTTATAGGCATTGCCCAGATTGCCATAAGCTTGTCCTTCTTCGGAAAGGTCACCAACTTCTTTAGCAATGCAGAGATGCTTCTTACCGTACTCTAAGGCTTGTTGGAAGTCACCGACTGAGTCAAAAGCGTCACTGAGATAACCACAGGCCCGTGCTTCTCCAGCCTTGTCGCCCACATCCTTCGCAAAGGCCAGCTGTTTTTTCTGATACTCAATAGTTTGTTGCAAGTCACAGGCGTTATCCACACCGCCACAGAAAACGTCGTTATTGGCCATATCGCCCATTGTTTTGACAGTTCCAAAGTAACTCGCTATATACTGCAGGACATTGAACACCCTTTGTGCCATCTGAATGATATAGTCCTGCAAAAGTGATAAGTACATGCCAAACAAGTCAATACTTTGTACCCTCTCAACCTGCCAAAAGCATCCACTAAAGCACATCCTCTCCCCAAATGAAGAAATATAAGATAAGGACAAATGGATATTTCCCGTTATTCCACACTTAAGAAGTATTTTATGAAACAGAACAAATATAAATTATTGTTCATCTTCTATGTTCAGTTCGTTATTAACTCTGAACCTGGTGGTAAATAATGGCTTTCATTCTTTCTTTTTCAAGGAAAATTTCTTCGTCGGCAACAATGCACTTCCCGGATAGTGTCATGAGACTGGTGGCTGAGAGGATAATATGAAGTTGTCTTTAGCCTGGTGTTAACATTCGCGCTTAGTATCATGGATATCCCGGTTTAAAGCGTTTTTAAATCTAATTATGATTACTTCAAAAATGTTATGGAAGAAGTTATTGTACGGTAAACTTGACTGATTATCCTGCTCTTGTTTCCTAGAGAATTTCGCGCCCACTGAAATTTGGTTTTACGGAGCACTTTGCCATTTAGAGGGAATGTTTTGTTGTTTTTTTTTTTTCTCGTACAGCGCACAATTTTGTGGTACTGTCTAGTGAAAGCTGATGTATTAACGATTTTGAGGTTGTTATAGCCTTGAAAGATCATATAGATCACTACCTAACCAGCAGTAGGAATTTAAGTCGTGTTCTATCGGAATCAATCAGTTGATTTCGGGAGTACTTTATAGCTTGTCGTTTCACTCAACAAAAAAGGAAATGATGACGAAATGATTCTCCTGGGTTTCTCCTTGGTCCTTTTGCAAGCGATCTGTATACATGTTTATCAAAGTGACAACGGTTTCTCTGCTCGATTTCAAAATACAATCGCTTCGAGCGCGTCAGAAACTATAGATTCACTTCTTGGCGTTTCAGCTTTAGGTGTTCATACCACATCGGATATCTTTTCGTGTTGGCACGAAAGCTATCTGGTGTATTGTGAATATAGCCTTCGATTCGATCCTCAATTACTCACACTCAATTATTGCTCACTTGATTTGGAAAAACAAGAAAGTTTTAACCGTTGACCTTTTACAGGAAGATTCATCGAAACTTCCATTGACTGTTATTGAACTATGCCAATATAAACAGCACTAACTTTTAACGATGAAAACAAGTGGGATATTTAGTAGCAGAGTAATCTTTACCAATGGCCAAATGTTCGCCAGAATTCCCTTCCAGATTCACAGCAGCATTCAAATTGCCGCAGCAATAACCCAGAGCAATAACTGAAAAGTCAGTACAGTTGAACCTCTCCTGATGAACACCTCTCCGCTATTACGGTAAGCTCACTTGGCCCAAAAGCCCGGGGGGGTACTTAAGGAATTTCTGGGTGGAGATGTGCCGCTGGGACCCTGGAACCCTTAACCTATACTAGAGCTAGTTCAGCTAAATTTTGCTACCCTATACTAGAGTAAACTCGCCAAATCCCCCGTAGCCTAGAGTAGCAGTTTCCCTGGTCTAGAACCAACTGATCAGTTTCCTGAAAAAATAATACCCTATTCTAGACCCAAACGCTCTGATTTATATACCCTATCCTAGAGTAAACTGCTTGAAAACCATACCGTTTACAGCGGCACATACCTATATAGCTCATATATGGTAGTATCCCCCCCCCCCCGGGCCCAAAAGACATCAAACTTCATTCCCAATCCTACCTTCATGATTCAAACACCTCTGTTATTAAGTTTTACACTTGGCTCGGTCCTTTAATTTTGGTGTCCGTTTCCTCTGTTCTTTTTTGTAAGGAGGTATGACTTTATTTTTCCGCTATCAGATGAACCAATTTCTCCAAATGTTTTATACTAAATTGGAACATCATATACAGCCAAATTTAGAAGTGAAGTTCTCTGGAACTCGAAAGCGAAATACTCATTGACCTTGGAAACAAAGCAGCCAAATTAGACAGTGATCACGTAAGACTCGAAAACGAAACAACCGAGTCTAGAGAAGAAAATGAATTATATTTTATTTATTAGGTATGATTTGACTACGGGCTTCTCTTGCCAGATTTCATATCGTGGGGGACTGCTGTGTATGTTTCCATGTATCATGGGA